TCTGTTTTGGGTACCTATTTTTGACCCACAGCCATATTGCAGAAAGGATGATTGTCCACAGGCACAAGCAGGGCTTCCGAGATTGACTTGAGGGCCATTGCACGAGTATGTTGCTCGACCACGACGGTCATCAGGCCATGTGGATGTTTGTTTGAAATTGTTACTCCCTCCAAAGCGGAAGCGGGTGTTTCTGGGATGCAACAATCAATCCTCGGTCCTTGCGACAGGTGGTACCTGCTTCCCTTGTCGTTATTGTGCCCCCACCTTGAATTACAGGAACTCGGAGTTAGGGATACCCCATTTTCAACAACCCAGTTGTCAGATCAACATGGAGCTCAAAAAGCACAATTTCCAGAACCTCCTTTTGGGGGAATCCAAAACCCCCCCTTTCTGGGTTCAATTTACTGTAAATTTGCAGGGGAGTACCCTCAAAGAGACACATCCATGTCATGTCAAGCAACCTTTCTTCTACGGCACCTTCGAGCACTGAACTTTCAGAGCATGCCAAGCGTGTTTTGGAAGAGCACGGGTCGTGGGCTAAATGTGTTCATCAGAAAATCAAATCGAGGATTGTAGCACGCAAGTGGTTGCCACACGCCACGATCCACCAAACTTCAGGACACACTGCAGCTGCAGCACGTGGTCTCCTGCAAGCAAGCTACCAAGATCCTAAGCCGGTTAAATTTCCGGACTCACCCCAAGCCGTTTTGTGGTTGCACTGTTTTGTGATACCAATGACTTGAGCCCTTAGTGAAAAAGTCGTTGTAGTCCTGGGGACGAGAATCAACCACTTTACTCGGTTTCCACCGCTCCATGCCAATTGCCACTTGGTGGTTCTGGCTCCAAGGTCTTGGAAAGGACCTAAGAGACGCCCCTCCTGGTCCATACTGCACCTGCAAATTTGACATGGCACCTAAAACGGGGGTTCCTTAAAAGTACATGTCTGATTTCTTGGAACAGGATCTTGGATCTTGATTTGTGCAACCAAATGCCCAGCTATGTTGACCCGTCTGTCTTCTAGTGGCCAGTGTTGTGTGAAGATAGTTTGGAAAGCCCATGCCATGTGGCAGGGTAGTGTTGTGCGGCCTGGCACATACTTCTTAAGGATAAGCCAAACATCAAGAGCAAATTCGGAAGAAAACAAACATGAGCTCTAACTTTAGACTAAGGCTGAGCTCTCGTATGTCTTCTTTTGGTGCTTGGGCTGGGGGTTATGGGGGACGTCTTTGTTCTCCAAGTCGGTTTTGAGGTGGGCACCCGAATCCTCGGGCAGATGGTGGAACTCTTCGAAGCGAGCGCCAGACTCCCAGCTCAGCGAACAGGCGCTCCCTGAGCTGCAGAACTTCAAGCCTTTTGGGGTTGGAGCATTTCAGTGGCGTTTCGGACTTCAAGAGCGTTTTTTTGGTTTGGATTTTTTTTTGGTGGGAAACAACCAGTTCAGCCTTGCTTTGGCCCATCTCAGGAAGTGAGGGCCCGCAAAGCTGGGAGGTCTCACGTGGCATCAACTGACTTGGGGTTCATTCAATATGGAACAGAAACCGCACATGTCATGTTTCGTTACTGACAAGCTGAGGGCAGACATGGGAGGAGGTTGCACGTGCTCACTTGCAACCAAAAGCAAGACACCGTGTTTGGCCTTTTAGTTTCCAAGTTGGGCCTGTTTTAGTGGTTCCAAGCAATTTGGTGTCACCTTTATTTCCAGGTCCTCTACGCAAGCGCGAAAACAGTGATGCTTTTTGGGGACTAAGGCGGCACTAAACAATAATAGAAATTCCCCCGAACAGTGTTGGGTTCCAGGGCGGCCAAAATTTGACGGGTTCTGATCGCTTGCGAAATCATGACGGATCGGATCTGAAAGCAACCTGGTGGTTAGAGCCACCAAAGGGGTCACCCAAGAGTTGAACCCCTTTCCCACGCCCCCAACGCCCACGTGGCTTTCTATTGTCAGGCGACCCCTTGGTGGCTTTTTTGGTGCTGGGTAAAGGGGAAACCACCAATCTAAGCCAAAGGCCGAAGCTCCAAGCCCATCCAAAGCACCAGGAAATCTGATTTTGGTTTACACCTTTTGGTGCTCAATGTGCCTCAGACCGCTTCCCGTTCCGATTCGCCCCAATTTTTACAGCCGCTTCAGGTCTCGCTTAAAGATTGCCCAAATATCAAAACCATAGTTTTACTGCATTTAACTGGGTTCGAATAAATGTGGTGTTTAGAATTTCTAACTCCGAATCCACAACATTCCAACAAGCCCCGCTTCCGGACATGCATCTGTTGGTGGGATGCCTTCACGGGGGGTTGTGTCTATGACCCATGTCAAGCCATTTTTGAGGGCCAGGCAATTGATTTAGAGCCAAGTGTGTCTTTTCGTAGACCCCCCAAAAAAGACACCTATATGGTTGTTTTCCCTTTGGTTTCCCTTTCAACCAACCCAGAAAAGGGGACCCCAAAAATAGACCAGCCATTGGTTGCCTCAGAATCTGCAACTTGGATTGTTTTGGGAAACCAAAGTCTAGCCGTGCAGGCGAACAAGGACCTCCAAGGCAGGTTTGTGGTCAAAATGAGTGGACCATCATGTTTTCCTTTTGGTCTCCTTTTAGCCGCCAAAGCGGACTGGTTTCCTTTTGGTTTCCTTTTGGTTTCTGTTCGGTTCAAACAGGGGCCCCCAAAATTGGATGGTTTTCTTTTTGTTTTCTTTTCTTTTTGTCAACTATGGGCCGAAAAGATGGATGGTTGATTTTGTTTTGTTTTGTTGGGCTCAATAATGGAACCTCCCCCCAAACGGATGTTTCCTTTTGGTTTCTTTTTGGTTCACTCATGGGCCCCCAACATGGATGGTTTCCTTTTTGGTGTCTTCTTGGTTCAAATATGGGCTTCCATGGATGGTGTTCCGTTTGGTTTCCTTGCAAACCTACCCCGAGGGTGCCATCAAAGCAAAATACACAAACAGCCTTTGGTCTGCCGGTTGACTCAGGCAGACCAAAGATGGCGGAAGATGGAGGACCCAGAGAGCGGGGAAGAGGCGAATTCGCATGTGGCCGTGCAAGAAGCTAAGGTTCTTGACCTCCGTTTGGTCAATTATATTTTGTTTAGTGTCCCCTGTTGGAAATATGTTAATGTTTTTTCCAGGGGACTTAAGCAAATGGAGGTTGACAAATGCGTGTGTGCCTTTTCGAGGGTTCCCTTTTCACCTGTTCAAGGTAAGGCAAAAGGGCAACCCCATCATTTTGAGTGTCCCCCTATTTTGACACGTACCCTGCGCCAAGACGATTGGAAACGCGGGCAAGAGCCCTCCCTCCTTTTGGATGTGGGGGTTTGAGGCCTGGGACCTGTGAACGCACTCTGAAACACTGGCTGGCTCGTCGTTGTTTTGGCCACCCAAAATCATGGTTTCGCTTTAGTTTTCCTTTAAAACCCACCAAAAATGAGTGCCCCAACAAAAGACGTGCCCAATTAATTTGTTGTTTCAACCATGTGGCAGGATTGACAGATGTAGCTAAGCGCCTGACGCCAGCCGCATCATTATTTGGAATGGCCGGGCCGGAGAAGGGTTGCTGGGACAACTGGACATTCAACACCCACTGGCAACTAGCTCTGCGAGCAAAACTTACACTGAATCATTCCTTGGACAAAGAATCCTTTCAGGACTGGCTTCCTCACAGTATGAACTTGCTTTATGTCCAAGATGATGTGATAAGCACATTACAAGAAGCTTGGCTGACCTTAGACGAGCAATCGAACAGGGATTGGCTACTTTTCCACAAGCTACGCTGCGGTGGATGCCCAAACAATTCGAAGTAGGAAACAGGGACAATATTGTATTTCACTGCAACTTCCACGTTACGTTGGTTCGTGGCTACGTGTGGTTGGGTAACTCGGAATGTTTGAGATTCCAAGGGAGTAAGTCTTGGTGAGTTGCCGAAGTCAGGTTTCAGGAACAGCTTCTTCCTGTCTGTTTGTTTGTTGTCCTCAGCAAAAAATATGTCGCCTGTTTCCTCACTCCCTGAGTTCCTGGGCTTGAAGAACGTGCTGGTGGTAAGCAAACAAAGTTTCCAAGGACTTAGTTTGGCCCATCCACTCGGAAAGGGGAAAGTTAGGCAAAACCATCTGCTGCAACCTTTGTTTCCCGCCTGAGTCAATGCCACGCCAGGGCTGGATGCTGCTTCAGCACCCTCAGCCGGAGCCTTTGAGCAACTAGAATCTTGCAACCGTCGGATGGTTTCGGCGGAGGATGAAATGAAACAAAGGGTCCCAAGCTTCGTGTCACCCCCCGCCCCCACCCAATTTGATATCAGGGGTGCCATCATTCTTGGCTTGGAGTACATTGCAATGAGTTCTTGAAGGTGTTTGAGTTGACAGCAATCGGCCCTTTAGTTTACATGTTGGAAAGTACCCGTTTGTAAATATCGCCCCTTTCCTACTTGCATTCTTTAAAGAGGGGCACCCATGAGGCTTTCCACCAATTTCCCAAGCTGTGTTCGGAGCCCATGTAACGGCATCAACTGGGTACCACCCCATGGTGCTCAAGGGAAAACCAACCAGCAAGAATCCGAGCAAACGCGGGGGACGTTTGTGTGGCGGATCCCTTTCCCAAGGGAGGAAAGACCCATCGCCCAAGCCCGGCGGATGGATTTTTTTCTGGGGCCGGCGACCGCTGCCTTGGGCCGCTGACTCAAGCCCAGCGGAGTTCAACGAAAAGGGTTGCGGTTCTGATAAGCTATCAGGGCCACTGGTTGGAACTGCCGGGCTTTGAGGCTGGGTGGGTTTTGAATCTGGTTGAAGACCATGGTGCATGCGAGTGTGTTTGTTTAGGTGATGGAACATGAACGAACTCAGATGGGAGGCAACCCGGAGCGAGATCCAGCATTTGCCGTTTGACTCTGTAGCTGATACACCTGTAATCCGAGGAGGGTCCAACTTTCTTTTCTGTCCACGATGTCCAAAGGTTTTCGCCCTGACATGGGACGGCTGAGGTTTCTCTCCTTTCCGTTTCGGCTCAACTCGGAAGATTCATATCGCTTGCAAAATAGGCCATTCGCCATTCGCCATGGCTGTGAAAACTGGCGTCTTCATCTACCTGCTGCCTGGCCTGAATGGCGCGAAACCGTGGAAAACGAAACTACCCTGCCGCCCGGAAATATGGAGACAGAAGGTACCATGAGGAAACAGGTCTGGGGGGTTCCCCAGTTTCCATGCAAGTGGGAGTAGCTGTTTACCTGCTTTGAATGACGTGAATAGACCTACTACATCCAGTGCTTGTCAACAGATGCAAAGCCAAACCATGCTCTTCCCAATGGCTGGTGAGGTTGTAACAGATGTTACTGTTGCAAATTAGCATATTTGACTTGGTGCAAAAGGCGGTCGCCCCATGACAGGACCCAGTGCCTATGTTCATGGCATGTTGATTTTGTATGTGAAAGGAGAACAAGCACGCTTCACCATTCACTTGTTGTCACCTTGTGTTGCTACGCATGTTCCTTGATTCTTGAGAATTGCCTGGCTTAACTGTACACATGCGTTATGCAGTATGCATTATATCCATGACATAATATGTATATTATAATATATATATATATTAAAATATACAACCATTGTTACCCGTTTATGTTCTGTTCAATAAACCCGATGCTTGCCACAGAAGGGCAGGCTTATCAGATGAGACATGGGCATGTTCAAGCATGTTGTTGTGATTGTTGGGGCGCTGAGAGCAACCTGGCGCTGGGATTCACAAGTCTGTTCCAAACTAGCAACGTCTTGGTCCCCCAGTAGTGCCCTTTTACCCCTTTTTGGGGGAAGGTTCCGATGTCAAAATTGCGCAGGACATTGGCCATTTTACTCGTAACGGATCGATCGTTCGGGAGATGGGAGGCCAAGGTCAACTTGAGCCAGGGAGTCCCTGCACAATTGATCTCTCTCGAATCAGGCGCTGCAGGCTTGTTGGGTTCCTTGGAAGAATGTTGTGCTCTGGTTGAAGGGAAGCCAACCACCAGCTCCACCACCAGCTCCACCACCACTTTGGACAATTTTTCGGAGACAAGCCAAGGAAACCACCAGCTCCAGCACAGATCAGAGACAGCTAAGGATCTTTTCCTGTCAGCTCCTTCCAGTTCTTTCCGTGCGGGAGAGTGTAGAGGATTTGACGAGTGACCTGCGCGACCCAGCGCCACGCCGCAGCGCCAGGTCCCTAGTCGGACCTCTGACGACTCCAAAAGGGTACCCGGTTCCTTAGGTCTTCCAACTTAGTTTCGTGGGGAATTCCAGTTCACCGGGGGGGAAAGAAGGGGGGAGTGGGGGGGGGGTGGGAAATTACCAGGGGATCTGAGGGCCCAGTTGACTTCATGTGCGTATATTTTGATGGCACAATTGGTTGGGTTTGGTTTACAGGCCAAAGGCAAACCACCCATTTTGGGAATCCGCTATGAGACACGCCCATGTAACGTTAGGCTCACTTTTGCAAAACACGGGACCCTGGAAGAGCGCGTTTTACGTGTTTTGAGGCCTGCAATTTTCGCGTGGGTCGGCCGTGTCAGTTGCACTTGGTCTAACAAATACAGAGGACACAGCTTGAGAAAACCAAAGAACCCAAACAACTCGAGGAACACCCCAACAAATACAACACACCTAGAGAAAGCCAGGGAAAAAAAGAACATGAGAGAAAAACTATTCGTTGAACAACCCATGTTGAAAGAATTCTGGGAACATGTGTTGTTTGGCGGAAACATGCGTTTGGCTTTCTTTGGTTTCCTCGAGTTGTTTTTTGTTGGGTCTTTCGAGGTTTGTTTGGTGTTTGTGTTGTTTTCCGGTTGTATGAAGGTTGTTTTAATTGTTTGTGTCTATGATGGGTCTTCTCTACATCTGTTCTCGGGCTTGTTTTTTGATTTCAACACACATTGCAAGAAATTACTAGCTTGTTTGTTTTTGCTTATTATATTCGGTTGAATATCCAGTTGAATTCTACTTCAATTCCTAGAAATAAATTCCTATGCCAAATCAATTTCACAATACGAACTCTAATTAATTTATTTTCAGCATCAAATGAAGTGTAAGAAGTCTATTTGAACTAACTAGAAGAAACAACCAGCTTGTCTATCCTTACCATATTCTATTTAAATTATAATTAATTCTAATGAAATTCCAGATACAAATGAATTCCTATTCAAGATGTGATTCAAAACATGTAGTTGAGTTACTCAGAAGAAACAACCAGCTTGCAGTTTCTTACTAGCTGTTATCTTTTTATTTCTCAAACAGTATAATTCAGTGTTGGAAAGGAGTTCCCATCTAGACTTGGAAGGCATTTCTGTTTAAGTTCGATTTCAGAATATGACCTCCAAGTAAGGTCTAATCGAACTCGTGTGTGCGAATACAAATTCCGATTTAGCATCTGAATTAGAATACGAGTTGCAGTTAACCGACAATTGAAATCCTATTTGGAAGGGAAGTACTATTTAGCATCTGAATAAGACAAGACAATTTGAAGTGAATTCTATCCAACATCCCATTTAAATTTGAAGCCTTGCAATCTAAAACTTGCAAACCAATGAGAGTATAGATTGCATTTCCCATGGGTTTTACTGGATTTTAACTCCTTTTGAGGAGCTTGAACATTAGAATTTATTAGTTTCTATATGAATCCCTTTTGAATTCCTACTTGGAAGGAAGCCCTATGTTAGTTCTAAATCAATATACGAATTGCATGTTATTCTAATTGAAGTATGATCTAAACTTCAAGCGTGGCAATTTGAAGCTTGTAAACCACTAGAGCTGAAATCGCATTGTCCCTGCGCTTCTGGTTGTTCAGTCCCTTTAAGGGGCAGGCAAATTAGCAGAAACAACAAGCTTGTCTACCATACTGGAATTAATCTGAGTTCTATTTCAACTCTAATGCCAAACAGGACTGACAGAAAATTGAATAAACAGCAGCAATTAGCAGCATGTTACAGAATCGAGGACCCTTGTTGGTTGGCTGATTTCAGAAATCGCAGTTACAAACACTCTTCAGCAAGGCAGCCGTACAACTTGCTCAAAGTATCAAACCTCAAAGTCACAAAACAGCGCACTACCACAGTTCCCAGTTTCCACTTTTGGGATTTGAAAGCGAAGGCAAACTTGGCCAATGTGTGCTGACTAATGAGCGAACAATTGATTATGGTTAAGTGTCAGACCAGGGAACTCACTAAAATGGCGGTTTTCCTTGGTTTCCTTTTTCGCTTGTCATGCGGTGAAAAGGGTACCCTTAAAACACACGCACACACATGTTTGTGTGGTGATACCAAAATACTCACAAGTTCCTGAGGAGTTGAAACACAAGGTGATTCCAATTCCCCTTTAATTTGCTTCGCTATGCCACTTTGCTGTGAAAGGAGCCAAGCTGAGTCCAACCAAGCTCAAACTAAGTTGGGCATTGCAATACTATGAAGTAGTCGACTGCTCACGTGTTGCTACATTTCCGCGCTGAAAGCAGGTGTGGGGAATTCTGACTGACAAGAATGTAAACATTACAATTTGTGTGATGGCTGGCACACCCTCGAAAATGGTTGGTGGGCAGAACAATGCGTCATATGACATGTATGATATGTGTATATACACAGGTCTATCCATATAGGTTCAACATATAGGTATACATTTCTGCGCGTAGAAACATACGGAACCCTTCTTGGATCTATTGGTGTGTCCCTTGGCTTCTCCCCTTGTTTCAGGTCTCCGAAATCGCGGCAATTGCCCGGGAACTCGCGCTGGATGTGGACTTTCATCCCGAAGCGGGCCCGGACAAGCCGCGAACCACGGCGCTGCGGCGAACCAACGCACTCAGAGACGTGGCGGCTTGGGCTTGAATTCAGTACGTGACAGCTTGGGGTGTAATGATTTTCCTTTTGGCTCAGAGGGGCGATCCGAAGGTGTTCTTTTTTGAAGGTTCTATGCTTGATCTGGGACCTACGATGCGCTGGCCCGCGCCAAAATATATACACAGTCGTTCCAGTTTTTATGGCATAAGAGTTGGTCGCAACAAGAGCCATTGCAAGCCAGTGACTGTTAGAGACTTGCGGCGCCAAGGGTCATGATTTTCCCATCCGTGGCTCCGGCTTGAATCAGTATTGCAGCCTTGGATCAAAGTGGGCATCGTCCACGATCTGGGCGGGAAACCGAGCGAAAACCCAGGATTTCCTTCCGAACACGTCCAATTCCATTTTGGAGGATCAAACATAGTTTCATGGCTACATCAAAGGCGATTCTGCGCTTTGGTGCGATACGGCCTTGCAACCTTCTAGAAGATGGCTGTTGTCCTTGCAAGTTCAAGTTTCTGGGGCTCCAATACCAGCGCAGGGTTGTTAAAACCTGCTACATCCCACGTCTTTCAGATGATGTTACAACCTTGGGAGCACAGCGACGTCGGTTGAGAGGGATTTCTCCCAAGGTAGCCTTGTTGTTTGCTGTGGTATGTCATCTTGGGAGGAGGCTGCTGCTCTCCCCTTTGGAAGGTCTGTAAACTCAATGTTGACGTTTGCATCTGCCTGTTCCTAGGCCAAGGTGCCACAGCTCTGCTCATGGACTCGGGCCTCAAGTATCGGGGGTGGTGACATTCATAATGTTCCATTTGCATGATATGGATCCCTTACTACATGGCGAAGAATTGGGACGGACCCAATGGAATACCAAGGCTCACTGGTATACTTCCCAGCGTGGATCTTCAAGCCATACCAGTTGCCTGGGCTGACCCATGGTTTCCTTCTTCTCGAGGCCCCTTCAGAAGAAAAGCCGAGCAGTCCTTTTTACCACCGCCGCTGAGAGCGTGCGGTGAAGGCCCAATGGGGGGGCGGGGGACAACACCTTTCCGCCAGAAGGAGACAGCCGAACTCAGCAACCATGAGGCTTCCCCCTTTTTCGGAAGCGGGATCGCCCCAGCCCGGTTGGACCATGGCTTGCTTGGCCACCAAGAAAAAGAGAGCAAAACACGCGGTTGGACAATGGCTTGGCCACCAAACGAAAGAGACACAACCAAAAAACGCGTGTTGGTTTCTGAGTACGACCTGCTGGACAGCAACAACGCCTCCATCAAAGTCGTGCCCGCGGACCGGGGCAAGCTCTTCTTCGCCAGCATGGCTCGGGGAGCCATGGACCTCGCCATGAAGGCGCCGAGTCGAGGCATTCGAGGCGCGCGAAGGAGCGCAAGGAATTCCGCGTACAACACTAGGTCCCCCAGCAATTGGTGCCCCATAGGCTTAAACTCGGTGCCCCTTTTCAGGGTAATCCTGGGGTTGAGTCTAGCCTGCAGTCAAAAAGTGGAACCCTGGTTGGCTAGGTCCCCTTGGTGCCCTTTCTCGCCCCTTTCTTGGTTTGGAGGGTTCCAAACTACTAAGATAGACCGAAAAAAGTTGGAACCAACTTATTCTAACCGCTCTACTGGAGGACCTAGAATAAGTGCGCTCAGCAAACACGAAGTCTTTCATCTTTGCGGGTCGTGATGTTTTTAAGTGTAAGGCTGCTTGTGGGTTAGATCGGACCCTGAGGCTGAGGTCCCGAAGTTGGGAAGTTGCGTGCTCAGAAAGCTTGAAGAACTTGGAGGCTATCCCCACAGAGGGAGTTTGTGCTTTGGGGGGGTTGTGGCAAGGAAGCTGCAAGGACCCAGAAAGCCAGAACAAACAAATTGCCCCCGGTTTTGGTGCTCATGAGGTGTTTGGTTATGTCCAAAGCGGCCACGACCCAAAGACTGCTGCAGGTCGCCCTGTTGATGTGTTTGTTGGCTTGGCGCTGGACGTGTTCTTGCCCTAAAGTGTGGCCAGCTTTGATTTCGAGAAGCAGTCGAAGCTGAGTACGGATTGGACAGGGATTGCGATTGAGCGGATTAAGGCTGTTTGGCGGATGATCTCCTTTTTATGGATCAGCTTTTAGAGGAGCGCACATGTTGATAGCCGAGACCACAGAACACCATCAGTGGCATCAGTGGTTAGGGCCTCAATATTTCGAGCAGCACACAAGATGCCTTTGTTGTGTGTTTGTGCGGTGGTTGGTTGTCACACACATTAGCCAAGCTGCCCATTTGGGAACCCCCGAGTGTTCAGCCGGAATAGTATTAATAATAGCGATGTTCCTTTCATTGTCCCTTATTAAAGAAGACACACCATGTATGTATGTGTGTGTGTGTGTTGTCCTTGGGTTTCTCACTCGGGAGGTTTCCCGTTATTGGTTGTCATGTGGACATCCTTGGATTGAAAAGCGGGGATTGCACAGGGGATGCTTGGAGACCTGGAGCGAAGGGATGCACGACAAAATCCAGGCGGCACTTGAAAGAAACCACCCGCGTTGAGTGCTATTTGACACAACCACCTTCCAGGGGCGTGACGCAGAGTTCGGATTTCGGGGACCCAAGAAATCCCAAGAATCCCAATGTCCGTTGACTGCAAAACGGGCTTGTCTTCTTTTTGCGGGTGCCTTGTTTGTTGTAAATCTTTTTCGGGAAACCAAAAGGACCACCACCGAATTGGAGGGTGATGTAAACTTACCTCGTAAAAACACAACTTTTCAACATTTTGGGTAACATGGGCTATATGTCTGTAAAAGATTAACTTCCCCAAGGCTTGGAGTTTTAAGGGGTAAGCAAAAGACGTCGCTCCGCGCAAATGAAACCAAAAGGAGAACCACAGAATTGGAGGATGTAAAAAAGTCGAGCCACGCAAATGGGCGCTTGACCAATCTCTTTTCTGAACTCAGACGAGTCACCAGGCCACACCTCCAAACCACCCAGCCCACTGGGGAGCTGCATGACTTCTCAGGGCATCAACGGGTTTGGGAATGCACCGGAAAGGGATGCCATGAAAGGAGGCTACAAGCAGAGGTGTCCTTTTCAGGTTGGTTTTGTTTGAAATAGATGGCGGCTTTCTTCCATTTGGCAGGGCCATCTATTTTACCAAAAGAAGACACCGATTTTCAGGTGGCGTCGCTGGTGGCATCGGACAGCAGGGGTCCCAGCAATTGAGCCCAGTGTTCAGCAAAGTTGTTCGAGGGGAAGGTCAGGTAACTAGTCTCAGTTGTTCAGTGGCACCCTTTTCCCCTTTTTTTGGTGGCTGCCCCACTAAAAATGGTCTTCCCCAAAAAGGGGTCCCTTTTTTTCTAGGGTCACAGAACAACTGAGTAGTGGGTGGTGGTTTGGATTGGCGGTTTGGGGTAACAAGAACCCCTGGTTCTTGTAGAGACTAAATTGGACACCGCCCCCGCCTCACCTCCAAATTGGAGGGAGGCTGAATCAAGGGAGTTTGAAAGCAAGCTGTTTTTCAGGGCAAGCTTGTTTCAACATTGTTTCGAGCTCATCATAGCAACCTCACAAGGTTTGCGCTTCAGGTCGGTAAATGATATTAGTTCGATTGGCAGAACGGTTTTGGGCGGCATCCGCCGACAGTTGGTGATCCCCTTCTGGCTTATTATTTTTAGGTGGATCCCCCAAACATGAAGCCATGTGTTTGCATTCAACAGAGCCAATCCGGCCGACGCTGTAGGCTGTGTTTAACTTGATTTCATCAGATCCGAGGTGCTCAGCAGCCAACATGGACAAACTGAACGCCCTTTAGGCAATCGGAAGCCAAAGGCTCGCTCGGTTCCCAAGAGAAGGTCAACAGGCACCTTCTGAACGGCGGGCTTCTGAAGGCTTCGGATGGAAGCTTTTTGCGGATTGGATGTTGGGCGGGATTTCTTGCCTTTTGAGCTGTGGATTCGACGAAGCCCCGTGCTTTCCTCCAAATATGGCCTTGTTGAAGCTGTTGCGGGGCTTTATCTAAGGAAAGAAGAGGGCAAGAATTGAAGCCCCGCATCTGGGGTGACCGGGGAGAAGGGTGCAAAAATGTGAATGCCCTGGACAAGCTCTTTTTTTGCCAGGGTCAGCAGTTCCTAAATAAAAAAGGAATTGTTTTTCGGTACCCTTCGTACGACTGGTTTGAAACTTAAAGCGGGTTCCTTTTTCCTTGGCCAGCGAGGCTGATTCAGGTTGCTCGTCAGCTTGCTGGTTTGGATTTTGGGGATTTGGTTTCCCTTGGTTTCTTGTAGAGACCATCCCAAACCACCAAACCATGAAGAAGCCTTGTTTCTTGTAGAGACACCATCCCAAACCACCACCCCGGCTCCCGCTTCTCCAGCAATCACCGGGGCAAAAGCTGAGTGAGGTGTGACCATGCTGGGCGACGCCGCTGCAGCGCTGGGCCCCATGGGCTTGGTCCTGGGCTCCATGACCCTGGCGGTGAACGAGAAGGTGATCCGCGACCTGAAGCAGTCCCTCGGCCACGGAACCAGTCCGCTTGGGGAGTGAAGCCGAGCGACCCCTCTGTCAGGCAAAGCGGAAGACTCCTTTGGGGCACAAGTCTTTTTGGGATTCCTTTCTGGTTTTCTTCAGTCAAAGGGGAAAAAGGGAAAAACCGAAGCCCGTTTCGCGGGTCCACTTCCAAGAGTCAAGTTCCCCCCCTTTTTTTCCACGTACTTGTAGTTAAATGGGGGCTTGGATGAGTGCAGAAAGAAGCCTTTAGAGTTTCTTCAGCCATAGCTTTATCATACATCTCCTTACATGGTTTTAACCCACTGGCTCCCTACGAATGATTTGGTCAAGCTCGGGTCATCGTCATCATCATCATCATCATCGTCATCGTCATCGTCATCGTCATCGTCCTCATCGTCCTCATCGTCCTCATCGTCCTCATCGTCCTCATCGTCCTCATCGTCGTCATCGTCGTCATCGTCGTCATCGTCGTCATCGTCGTCATCGTCGTCATCATCGTCATCATCGTCGTCCTCCTCCTCCTCATCATCTTCATCATCATCATCATCATCATCATCATCTAGAGTATATTTCTGTTATATCTCTTAACGGTGGTTTAACAAAAGAACGATCAAGGCAGAGTGATCTTCTTTTTGGTGAGGTAATATTAAAGGGACACTTTGGGAAACCTGCAAAAGGGCTGTTGGACAATAGCCACATGTCGGTAGGTTCGGGCGAAGCGCAAGATCCTTTTTGGGTTTCAAAGACCACACGGGCCGTCCAAAGGCAAAGCCGAGCCTGTGGTCCCCAGTTTATTTGATGCGCGCCTTTTGCCGAAATCTGAGCCAATCTGCTTGGACGCATGTTGCAACCTTGGCCTTTGGAGCCAAGAGTGGGGACTGGAGTCAAATGCGCCACTGTTGAATGTATTCGTGCACCTTAGCATGTGGAATGCTCGACCCAACTAGCTTGTGGGGCCTGTTCGCACTTGCCCAAAGTTAAGCGTTCTTTTTCCTCTGGTTCATTCATTTTCCCGGCGTCCAGGCATAAGACCCTTAGGTGTTCATGTTCTGACCATTGGCAGTGAGCTGACGGCTGGGCTTGAAACACACCAAAAACCGGCAGCACTTGGACAGGGCTCCAGAAAAAAGGTCTCCATTTTGCCCATCCATGTGAGTTACATGTTGCTTTTTCACCACCAAGATAAAGAAATGGAAGAACAACAAAACCATTTACAAGTTGCAATGTTCGATCGGTGTTTTTCATGCATCCGGATCCCTGGACCCACCAAACAGTTGCAGCACTTGGCCCCAGGAAGCTGAAGCAGAAAGGCTTGACCGATGCCCAGACCAACCTGATTCAGTGCCAGCTGCGTGAGAAGAAACGAGGCAGAGACCCGCGGGGGTCTCCGGATAGCGCGACCCTATCCCAAAATTCATTTCCACCCCCACCAAAAAGCAATTACATGGAGTTGGGGGAAGGGTGTTCTGCACACCATATTATATATATATATATATGTCCATGCTCCCTTCTGGGAAGACTCTGACCCCAGGACCTACCAGCATTTGGAGACTGCAGTCCACCAGCTCATGTGTGTTTGTGCATACACATGTACACATGCATATGCATGTGCATGTGCATATAAGTCCACAGATATATATATATATATATACATGTATATGTATACAGACATATGCATGATGTTGGTATTTGTCATTTTTGTATAGATAATCATGCATATTCATTTATATATCAATATACGGCTACATGTTAATATACATGTATACACATATGTACACACAGACGTACGTGGTAGTTCTTTGAACTTAAGGCGGAGCTGTAAGCTGTGGGCAACTTTTACTTGTAATGTGGGACCAAAGCACTGTTGCACTTGCTTGTATACTTGGTTTTCGTCGATGTCCAAAGTACCATGACTCAAGGCCTGTAGCCAGCGGATGTGAGCGGATGTACCAATGACAGCGGAATGGGGGTATGAATTGTACACTTCAACACCCCTCGTCAAATTGTACTGGAATGACAGTAGCATGTGCTGCTGATGTGTTGATGGACGGTGCATGTACTTTATCACAAATCCGAATATGTGTGTGTATATATATATATATAAATATTCAATGTTTCACGATGCTTCACAAAATCATTGTATATGTAATATATTATATATATATACATACATATGTATATACCATACACATATATATATATATACATATATGTCGGAATGCGTTCTTCGTACTAGCTACCAGCCTATGAGTTTCCCGCTCGGAGGCCGAGTGCTGACGTTGGTGTCGTTGGGCGTGGGGGCGCTGGGCGTGGCGGGGACGGTGGCCTCGATGGGCGCGGCAGCGCCGGTGGCGGTGGGGGCGGCCATGTTCACCGTGGGAATGCTCAACAAGCCCGGGGGCCCATGGCTGGGAAGTCGGACGTCCGGGGGGGAAGGGGGGGGGGGAAGGGGGGGGGAAGGGGGGGGGAGGGGGGAGGGGGTGGGGGCGGTGGAGTGGATCAGCGGGGGCGGGGGGGAGGGGAGCCCAAGGCAAGCGTGGCTGTCACAAAGGCCCATGGCTGGGGGTGGGGCTATGAAGCTTACACTGAGCAAACCCTGGTTGGCTCAACTGGTCAAGAGTGGGGACGGGAAATCCCACAACCTGCTGAGACCTTTGAAAGCCTTGTTGCTGATGTTTGTTGGTCTTTCTCAGGGTTCGAATCAATTTCCCCTTAGGGTGGGGGGGAGGGGGATTTGGGACCCTTCAAAATGAGGCACACTAAGAATTTTCGCGGAAGCCTTGGCGGATTTGTGTGTTTCGACCATGCAGCTCCGCAAAAGTTCAAGCCATTGGAAGGTGGTTTGAAGACAACTTCTGCTCCGAATTTCCACTCAAGTGGGTACGTGTCAATATATACATTTTTAGCTTTCCTGTTGGTTTCTCTTTCAGGGGAAAAGGGTACCGACCGATTCAACGTTGCATGGCTTGCCTTTGCATCCGGGGCACTGGAACCCTCTCTTGATTTTCTCTGGCCGTAGGATACAGCGGTAGGCACAACCAGTAGCGCAATCAATCTGTTGTGTATGTATGTCAATGCATATGCACGAGTGATATCCAGATGCGAACGTGTTGTCGAATAGACCCAAATGCTATTAATGAGACGTACATTCAAGCATACATTTTATTGCATACATGTTTTTTGTACATGAACTGCTTCAGGCGTGGATATTCGCATATATGCCCTGGGTCCCACCAAAATCGAGCTTCGCCCACACTCCTCACCCAGGATGAGGAGTGGCAAGTCCTGCAGCGCGCTGCAGAAGATCGTGGACAGCTGCTCCGGGGAGGTCTGTGACCTCAAGGACGATGAGGAGACGGAGGCCATGGAGGACAGCGGTCTCCGAAACCGGAAAAAATCCGCTGATGAGACAACAGGGTCTCCGAACCCCCCCCCAATTTTTGTTGACCCTTGTCCAATTAGTGGCCTCATTTGGGAATCTTTGTCTGGGAGTAGGTACCCTTTTTGGGGGCCGGGTTTGAAGGGCGACTGAGAACCAAAGCCCGTTGGAGCTTTCCTCATTGGATGGTAGATGGCAGTCACAGTAGGTTTCCTTTTTGCTTCCTACACAATCCCAACAAAACGCTTTGGTGCAAGTGGGCGACTGTGGGCATGTTGGTGCATGTCAATCACAGTAAATTCCATTGTTTGCTGCATCTTTCGGGGGAGGGGGAGTTGATAACGTTTGGAACTCCGGGTTGCACACAATGCCCCAAAAAAGCACACGGAGGGCGTAAACAAAAGGGCGCTGGGTTTCTGCGAACCTCAAATGGCCCGAGGCCCAAAACTGAACTTCGATGCGGCGTTCTCGGTGCCCACTTTCGGGCCTTCGATTTGTGCACAGCCCCCCATTTGGCGCCAGGATTCCATTGGCGCCATGCTGCCGAATAAGGGATGAGGACACTTTTACGCCCCTGTCGGCACTCTTCGGACTTCGGCTGTACCCAAGCCACAGAAGAACTGCACTTAAAACAAGAGAAACAGTTTGCAGCCATGAGTGTTTTTTGGGCCAGCTAGGTCGATCAGCAAAACAGGGCTGTCCTTTTTTTGAGAGACGACATCCAGCCTGTGCAGACCTTCTGTATATAGCGCGTTTTCCCGATGGCGTGCGTCCTCCCATCTGATTGATGGCGATTGCACTCAGACCCAATAGAAACGGCCACAGGACGAGCTAAAAATTGGGTGTGTCTTGTTTCTGGCGGATCCCCCCGAAATGGCTTCAGCTTTCCCTTTAAAGTTTCCATTCACCACACATACCGCGGGGGGGGGATTTTTCGCCTCAGAAACGACCGGCCCATTTCTCGAAGCCTCAGGTTTCGAGCTGACGCGCGGGCCGAAGAAAAAGAAAAAGCTGTTCGATTCGGGGGGGGGGATTTTGGTGTGGGATTTATTTTAATTTATTTTTTATATGGCATCCTAAGATGCGCTCCCCGCTCCCTGAGCTCATGTTGTTGTTCACTTTTTCGGGGGTTGGCCCAAATTTGGGTAAGAAGGTTTCGAGCCACGGAAGTGAGCAGAGCGGATTTATTGGAACTAGAGTTGGTTGCCCAGAAGCATGTGTCACTTCTCCTCAAAACACGGGGATGTGTTCTTAAGATCGCACCCCCAAGGTGTGTGCATTGCAGGGATTCTCTGTCAGTTTGGGAGGGACATGGGTGGTTCAATCAACTTTTCCGGTCGGAAAATGCTACCCTCCCTGTGAACATGGAACCTGTCTGGGACCTTTTGGCAGATTAGTCTCTCACAGGACCCTGCGGGTTCCATTTCATCTGGGACACTGCCCGGCGAACAGCATCTTTTCCCGCATGGTTTGGTCAAAATCTACCGTAGTCCATGCTTCATTTGGGAGGGACATGGGGCGAGCTCCAGGAAAAAACGTCGGGCGTGTCTTAAAATAAAGGACCGCCCAAAAATGGTTGTTTTCGTTTTAGTTTTCCTTGGCAAGCACAAAAACAGGGGCACCCTCGAAAAAGACACACCCATTTCCCCTGTCCTCTTGGGAGAACATTGGTATCTTTGCCCATGCTGCGTGTGATCTGGAGGTTGGGCGCCTTGCTTCGACCTGTTAGTGAGGACGGGTGAATGCTCGATGGTCGCTTCAGTTGTAACCTTAAAATGGCAACGGGTTCCTTTTGGTTTCTCGTTGAATACCAACTAAAAGGATGTCCACCATTTTGAGAGCCTCTTTTATGGTTGAAAGCTATTTTCAGATTAGTTCGGCATAAACAATAATCACTTTGAATCAATTTGGAATTAGTTTGGACTGTCGGTCAATCTGAAGTACTCGTTGTCCCCTGGAGGACCGTCTGGAGTAGACAGGCGCTTCGGAACGGGCGAGGTGGGCTTTTTTTGGTGGGGGAAGGGGATTCGGGGGGCAGAAGTGCGCGAAATCACGCAGTGTGCAAAGCGCTGAACATACCGATTCCCAGCACTGGGCAAGAACGAAGCAAAACATATCTCAGTCAGCTATACCGATTCCCAGTTCTGACAGGCACGCGGGATCATCCCACCGCTCTGATTCCACCTGATTGAGCCACAGAGTCCTAGGAAATGACCAGTGCACAAGGGTTCAACAGGTAGCGAAGATCGTTTGCACAGGTCAGAGCAAAACGCTGGGCTGCGAATGCTCTCAGTTGCCGAAGATGCACCAACTAGAACTGCTGAATCGATTGGCCCTTGCTTTCATGCCCATGTAGGTTGGCCCATGTGGGTTGGAATCCTGGCAATATGGCCGTGTGTCAACATCAGAGGCCTTGCTTTGGATATCCAAGTCCATCAAGAATCAAGAGAGGACAGGCAAGGGCCAGAGAGCAGGAAGGAACTGCCAACATCCCTGTTGGTGGTGGTGGTGGTGGTGGTGGTGAGTTTCCCCTTTAGGAGACTCGTTCGATCTTTCCCGTAGGTTTCCCAGCGACGGACGTCTTGAGCGCCACGCTTGCCAGGCCTTGCTCTTGCCACGAAAAAGGGCGTCTTGGGCTAAAGCGCTGCGTGTTCTTCGGCTGGCTCCTGGCAAGGCCATACGTCCGGAACGAGGTGCAAGTTGGCTGTTTGAGGACCCCGGACGGATGGCGCAAGTTTGCTATCTACCCCATCAAAATGCTCGGTTTTCCCGTATTCTTCGACAAAATTAACCCTTTGGGGTCTGGCTGTTTGTTGGTCACTATCAGTGTGGCACATGTCAGTAACTTTGTATTGCGCCCTTTCAGTGCCTAAGAGTATGTTTTAACTATTTTTAACTACTGGACATATTTGGGATAAACAGAAGTGGAAGCTGGTGCCCCCTCCAAGTCTTTGGCTGAGCCTAGGGTCCGTGTCCTGGATTATAAGGAGAGCAATCCGTTGATTGTCCATGTTTGGCATGTGCCATTGGCTTTAGATGTGCATCAGATTCGTTGCTTCTTGCCTGGGTTTGTGGTTGATCCATTCCCACGCTTAGGTGTGTGCTCATCGGCCGGTCACTCTTGCTGAAGTGAGCAGGAGTCTGAATCAGGCAAATAAAAGCCGAAACAAGATGAAAGCATCATCAGCAATACAACCGCAGGTTATAGCAGCAGATGCCTTAACTTAGCCTGGTTTTTTCAGCGGCCGAAGGAGATCAACTGACATGCGCCAGGCTGCCGTGCCTTGAAATCGTTGCAAGCAAGGCGATCGTACCTGCAAGCGCCTGACAAGATTTGTTTTATTCCATCACGTGTCACCTACCAAAAAAACGGCTTTAGGACACAAAAGCTGAAAGGAAGCTGCGGTTGATGTCCGACATGTTGCAAGTAAGGCAAACAGAACCCATGAGAAAATGCAGGGTTTCCATTCCCTGCTTGCCATGTGTGGGAAGCAACGGTACAATGCCATGGCACTGGCTGCTGCTGGGTGTAGGCTGATGTTCGAATTCGGCCGTCGATCTGAAGCTACAAGCGCAACAAGCGCACTACACATTGGAAGGCAGCTCCGAAAGTCATGGCAGCTGGGCAAAAACGGAGTTGAGGCAGGACAAGAAGGAAGACATCTGGAAGAAGCTTCAAGGCTGTTTGCAGCTCTCTCAGGCTTCTTTTAGCAATGAACCCTGTGCTGTGTTTGTTCAATGGCCTGCACGTACGCGTGCTCTAGGAAGAGCGCGTTGCTCTTGAGGTTGCCAGCAGGTCGTTTGAGTATTCCCGTGCTGGTGCAAAACCTCGCCTTCGCCTGTGGTTGCAATAGAAACATCCAGCGGGTCGGGGATATTCAAAGTCTTAGCTATTGCTATGGGTGTGTGTGTGTGATTGTTTTGAGGGTACCCATGTCAGCTGGCTTAAAGGCAAAGGCAACAGGAAATCATCATTTGTAGAGTCCCCTGATTGACACTTGGACGTGTTCGATAATTAGTACTCGGATGCGTTGAATGGTGGTCTTGTATCAAAGACTTGGAATATCAAACACACACACACACACCAAGAAACCAATGGTGATCTCACAAGGAGGCAACCGCCCTCGCCCACGATGAAGGGATTTAGTCTTTCAGAAGGCAGTTTCCGAGTGAGAAGTGGTTGCTGTTCCCGCAACCAAGAATTGCCTGCCCACACGTTTGTGTTATACCACAACTGGAAGCGTATCATCAGGTCACATGCAAGGCTTGTCAAGATCCGGGACCGTGTTTGGACCTTTTTTGGACCTATTGGACCCTTGTTCAAGTCTTGTTCGACCTTGTGTGGACCTTTGTTGTACGCTTGTTGCACCGTTTTGGACCTGTGTGGACTCTATGCTGGACCTTGTCTGGACTTGTTTAAACCAGTTTTGGAGCATTGATCCTTTTGGACACATTTTGGACCCTTTCGCGTGGCCTGTGTCGCCAGGCTTTGGAAGCGGTGAGTCGCCGTTTTGGCAGCAGGAGTGCTTCCTGCGGCAGCTTCAAGCGTCGGAGGGATGGAACGCCGCTTGATCAGATCTTGAGCTTCGGACGTGGCCTGTCTTGGCCCTTTCCATGGAAAAAGAGCCCCCTTTTGAGAGCTTTCTGGGTTGCTTCAAACGAGACACGAAAACTCAAGGATCGACCCCCATTCTCGGCTATGCTCGGCCATTTCGAGACAATTTCATATGCGAGCTCGAGATGCCTCCAGATTTCAGTGAGATTCCCTCTCACCTTACCAACTCAAGCCTATGTTGCCTTTCAAGGCTCTTCAGGCTTTATGTGGTGATGGGAGTGTGTTCTGCACGACAAACAAGGGGCCCGTTCATTCCATGTCTATATTTGTTGTATAAAGTTATATAGATACCCTCTTTTCCCCTTGGAATGCGGTTTATGAGTACATCCTCGGAATATGTCCGGTCTGGGCCTTTCTCTTGAGTGTTGCTCAGGATCCATGGGGAGTCACGACTTTGGATTTCTCGGTCCGACTTTTGAGTCACATGGGCTCCAGCCGCTGGCCGAGGTGACGCCATGCTGGCCGAGCCCATGGGGAGCCTTTGACCCAGGCCGGAGCGAACCCAGCCCGAGCCGGAAGGCCTCGGTCCGGGGAGAAGCCATGGTCGTTTTCCTAACTCAGATGTTCAGTGGCTCCCTTTTTCCATTTTTTTTGGTGGCTTCCCCACTAAAATGGTCTTCCCAAAAAAGGGTTCCCTTTTTTTCCAGGGTCACTGAACAACTGAGCTAAGGATCCTTAACAAGAAATCACAATATCATTCCTAAGGGAGTCAGATGGAGGTATCTTTTTCAATAAAACCCGCCAAAATGGTGGCTTGCCTTTTGGTTTCCCTTGTCCTAGGCACCTTTTTATGAGCTCGGGCGTGTACCTTTCTCGGGGTTGAGCAGAAAGGGACACTAAAGGGAAACCAAGCATTTTGGGGAGCCCCCTAAAAAAGGACCCCACCCACGTGCCTATGTGGGTTTGTCTTGCGGTTGTGCGCACCGCGGGTGCTGAAGGAACTGCCAAAAGGAAACCAACAAATTCTTGAGCCAGGGACCAAAAGGCCAAAAGGGCTCCCAACATTTCCCCATAGAACAGCTCACATTATTCGCCCTAAAGCCTTTTTGTTCAATCCACAAGAATGGGGAAGATAATCGGAAAATATCAGGACCCGCTGAGTATCCGCATCTCGACTTCTTTGGGGCGTTGCTTTTGCGGGTTGCCCGGGTGAGCGACAAAGACGACGTTCCTGCCAGGCAAGGTGACAACTTGCCCATCGCATCCCTCCTGGAGCGAGCTGCTCAGCTGTGACCAGGACCAACGAGCCTGGACTTCCATTTGCTTAAGTTGTGTTTTTGTTCCCCCCTCCTGGTTTTAAAGGGAATCTATCACTACTGGAAATATGTTGTTTCTTAAGGTGTTTTTTTCTTCCGCTGCTGGCTTTAAAGGGAATCTATCACTACTGGAAATATGTTTTGTTTTTTTCCCAGGGGACTTAAGCAAATGGAACTGGAGTTTCCACCCCCCGGACTCACCTCCGTTTCCCTCTTCCGGCCCTCCAAAAGTGGAGTAAAATGAAACTTTTGAAATCTAGTGACCCCTGCAAATTCGGAAGACTACCCAAAAGCCCTGGAGACTCGAGGAAGTTTCAACACTTCATCCCTTGGCCGGTTTTTCACCGAAGTGGAAAGGCAACTCCAATAACCCCGATTAGGACCTGGGACAGGGTCAAGGAAAGCCATGGAGCCGGGGCAAACTTTCTTCACGGATTGACATCGCCTAGCTGTCCGGAGCTTGTGTGACCCTGTGATTTGGCTGTGGGTCAAAACCAATGGAATCCCATTTTGGTTGGTAGGTGCACCACCCATTATAGTCTATTTTAGTGCGGATTAAGATGTTTACTGGGGGTACGGGATTTTGACCCATGGCCACTTGTTTGCGTTTGGCAATTGGCAATGGACCTCAGCAGAACCGCCAGCATCGATTCACAACGGCAGTTACTTGTCATGTGTGGCCATGCGGTTTGGTGGCTGCATTGCGTTGGAAGCATCTTGACAGCGGCCTGAAAGTTGTCTCGAGAAGTTCAGTTGTTTGCTTTTCAAGAGGCTCGACGATACCAGGCCAGTTGCTACCCTAGAAATTTACAACCTGGGCAAGCCCCCCCCGCCCCGCGGGTTATCCATAAAAGAAGAACATGGGGCTTTTTGGGTTCCACCTAGCACCAGGAAATCTGCAAGTGAACAAGTGAATGGGGGGTTATCCAAAGGAGAATCCTCTAAACATGGGGCTTTTCGGGTTCCACCTTGCAGGTGCACAAGTGAATTCGGCCCCGAAGTGGTGTGCGACGTTGCGGGGAAAGTCATCTGAACGCTTTTAGTTGGGGGTTCTTTATCTGAGCTATCGTTCCCACACATTCATTGTCATTCCTTGGATAGCTGTTTTTGTTCAATAGTGCCCTACCTAATTCCAACCGTGGCCCCTTACACGCTGACAAGAAGCTGCTCAACTCTCAGGCAGGTGGGGGTCTATGACATCGAGGGCCGGCACAAGGGAGCAGCTAGTGCGTGGGAGGCGGATGCAGAGAAACTTCGTTTGAGTCGAGGCAAACGCCCGGGTTTCATGTGGGTGTTTCTGAAAACACTAGCGGCCGCCTGGGTTGTTCTGGGCAACCAAAAGGACACCAATCACCAACCAGTTGGAGACAGGCCCATTTGTTTTGTGTGTGTGTGTGTGTGTGCGTTTTTGTGGGTATCCTTTGCAGGTTGTTTGAAGGGATACCACAAGGAGAGCAACCATTTTGGGAGGCTCCCCCTTTTGCTTTCCACTGCCTTGTGTTAGGTATCCATTGGAAGAGGGACATTAAAGGACAGTGGAACCCTCGATCGTTGCATTGGTGTTTTGGTGTTTGCCATTGACGATCTTCTTGCGGCTTTGTGGAAGCTGCTTACCAAGACTCTCAAAATTCCTCAAACATGGATGGACCAAATTATGTGTTGAATTCTCATTTTTGCATAGGTCATTTGGGGTCCAGCTAGATGCTCGGGCATTTCAGCATCAGACTGAGCCGCACAGATGTCAGGCGCAGACCTCCTGCCTTTGGCACCGAACCGTCTACGCCCGAACCTCAGTACCTCTCCTTGGGACAAAATCCGTGCTTCCCAGGTGAGGTATCTCAATTATTTAAATGCTTTCTTCCCAGGCCAACCCGGCCAGCCCTTCTCTTCTCAAAAACGAGCTCCACAAGGTGTACTGTTTGGGAATTGCGGACAGACAATCCCGGATTTTGTCCTTGTCTCCCACTGTGTCCCCGCCACATCTGGGATTGCGGGTGCCACGGGATGAATGTGTCTCCTCAATTTGTCTCCCCACACGTCTTCCCCTTTCATTTTTTACGAGCCATTGACACAATGCTGTTTTGTTGATTGGTTTGACGAGATTGGGGGTTGTTCCTTTTTTAGACATGTTTGCGGCACCCTTCCATGTTCAGCATTGTTTGGTAGTGTTTTCTCCTGGGGAGTTCCATGTTTGCCTGTGTTTGGCGTGTCCTGTATTACTTTTTTTGGGTCTGCACCTCCACTGCAAAAAAAGGTCCCGGCAGGTTGTTTCGAAGGATCCTCTCTCGCAGGCGAGACCCCTAGAGACTTGCAGCTCAGTGATGAGAAACCCGTGAGACGGCGTCTAGATCCACTTCGGGGGTTTTCGGGGTAGTGGTTCCGGTCTTGGGGTAGTTCTAACCGAACCCTTCCCATTCTCTTTCAATGCTTCGTTCCGGAAGGCCCGATTGGGGGGAAACATCGTGGTGATTTCTGAAAGGAACGAAGTGTACAGTGAATCGCAGTATCCAGGGTGGGACTTTCAACTGTGGTAGTTCTGTAAGACCGCGGGAAGGCCTTCCCGGCATCATTTTTTGGGGAAGGTTTGATATCATGGAAGTCGGAAAACAACTCATTCCCACATGGGAACCAACCTCTAGAATATTCGACATGTGGTTTTCTTTTTGTTCCCTTCACAATCAGTGTTAAGTGCACGCAGATCAGCATGGAACCATTGGATAGCTTCAAAGCCCTAGCCCCTCAGACCTCAATTCACCAGCTTCACCCCCCAAAACTTTAGCAGTGCGCCGTTGAAGCTCAGCGTCCACCAGCCCCTGTTGGGTGTGGGTCCAAAAATTCGGGTAAGCCCCAAAATGGCACAAGCCCTGGTAGCTGCAAAAGGACGATTTAACCTGCGGTCCATATGGTGGTTTGAAATTTGAGGCAAGCTTATACAAATTTACGGTGTGCCTAAACTGTTAGAAAGGGGCTGTAGGCTAATGTTCACCCCGTATCAATCAACCCCAGTTTATTAATATAGGGTGTGTTCCCCTCCAAAAGAGGTCTGATTCCCCACCAAGCCCAGGGATGCCCCCCTCTAAAAAAAAAAGAAACACAAAAGAACGAAAAACTGGACTGGGGTTGACTAACATGGGGTCAGCAGTGGACCTTTGAACCCTCCAGCTCTGCTCCCCGAGAAGCCCAGCGCGAGGTGATCCCGCACTTCCGGGGCGCGATCCTCTTCCAGCGCCGCGCCTCCTGGAAGTGGCGTATGGGCGGCCTCTGGGACGTAGGCGGACGTCTCAAGGGATCTCGGTCCCGGTGGGGTTGAGAGGAAGCCGAAATGAAGCTAACCACCTGGAGGGGTCCCTCATTTTTTTGAGAAGCACTCACAAACAGTCGCAACTATTGAGGGTACTGCTTTTGCATACACCTATGTGGGGCCTTTTGACACATATAGCCTCCTTATTTAGCAGAGGAGGTGGCGGCTTCAATGGAATCCAAATGGACCAGCGCTTGAAGGACCGAGTTCCCGGACTTGTTTTTTTTTTTTGGTGCGTGTTTTGCCGGGGGGGCTGGGGAGACCCTTTTTGTGGCAGATCCACAGCTCGGATTTTGTTTTGCCGATCCACTCCGGAAGTTGGTTGTTGTGGGTAAGGTTTTGGGAGCAAGGGCAAACTTGCAGACTTGCCAGCCATAGCAGGAATCTGCCTTGGCTCCCGCTCTCAGAGCGTCTTTGTTTGCACAGACTTGCTGTAATATCAAGGGTCAAAGGGATGAAGATCGGGGAACGTTTTCGAGTTTCGAATGTGCTTCCATGTTTGTTTGCGGCGTGTGACTTGAGGTTTGCATGCATGTCATCTCAAGTCAGAAGTTTCTGGGGCGGTCATCACAAGAGGGTGGTCATGTACAATGGCTAATAATGACATTTCCCACGACGATAGTGTGGGATGTGTCAACATGTCGGACAAAATAAACTATCAAAGTGTTCCTAGCCGTGTAGCCACTATACTGGTTGGCCTTCCGATACGCAAGAATCTCAAGGCAACGAAAACGCTCTAGTGTGACAAGTACGACCTCTTTTGAATTTCCCTCTCCCACAGATAGGATATTGCCCTCAAATCGATGAAACAGGTGGAAGCTTCTCCGTTTGACCGCATTTCGTTTTTCTTTCATCTCTCCTTCGTGCCAAGAAATCATTAATCTGTGAATATGACAAAAGGGTTCAGTTGCCAAATTCTGGGTTGGGATTTTTGGGACCTTTCTGCTGGTGGTTCTGAAGTACGATACTACCCCCCCACCCCCCCTTGTGCTTGTAGATATTTCGCGGTTTGGCTCATATTCAAGCGGGTTACCTCTAGGCAGAGTCGGAAGGATGTTTGCAGTGGAATTATCTGCATTTGTCTTCAAAAGGGAAACCCATCGCGGTGTCTCTTTGGCTTCCCCTATTCGTCAATCAAAGCTCGGAACGCCCATTTTGCATTTACGAGCCCAAAAGCCGCAGGCCTTTCCGAGACGGTGGAGCTGGGGGAGGATTTGGGGAAAGCTGCGCACCGTGCTGTTGCAGAGGAGGGGCATGGCAAGTGGTAAGCCACGCATCGACGCACCAGGACCCAAGGGCTGCCCCCTTTTTTTTTTCCCTAGCTTAGGTAGCACAAGGAAAAACATGTGTGGAAGGGGCTTCAATTTGATTTCAAAGCTTGGAAGGACCGGATCAAGCATTGCAGCGTCATGGCCTGAACATTTGGTGGGTTGGGGAAGCTTTCCGAAGAATGTTGCATTGGCTGGGATACCGAAGGTAAATCAGACCCCTTTTGCGCGATCCCCGGTTAAGGGCCGCCGCACTTCAAAAGGAAATCCGAAAGGCAACCAGATGCGACCAGCCTTTTTAAGGGTTCCCAAGTTGGAGACAAAGCAACGTGTGTGCAGAGCTTATTTAGGATGCTTCTTGGTCAAGGGAAGGTACACGGCATGCGCTGTTTGTGACCCGCTTAGACCTGTCCCAGCCCAGCACTCTGCTTTTCCGGTCGTTTTGAGGAAAGGGTTTTCTCAATTTCAACCAACAAAATAGTTGTGTCTTGTTGCCCAACATGCCAATTGCAAGTCAAGTTGGGCTTGTACGGCAACCACATCAACCAGCTCCAGCCAAAACACCTGGTCACCAATTTACGTGTGCGCCTGTCTCCAAATTGTGAAATTCCTGGTTGGCAGGCGGCAGTTGCCACCAAAGCCATCCACTTTTTCGAAGCCATCCACCTTTTTGAGACCCTAACCCCATCTAACCCCCCAAAAAAAGCTGTCACTGAGTACCTGACAAGTGTCACACCGCAACAACCAATTCAAGGCCACGCGAAGTCTCTCACAGTGGAGCAACTGCCAATGGTATCCTTTTGTTGACTCTTCTCTCGGTTGGCTTTTTCACTCTTTGGAAAACGTTTGTTGTCGTTGTTGTTCTGTTTTGTGTCGCTTCAGAGGGTTCAAGAGGGCGGGGTGCTCCATGTTGTCATCAAAAGGGGCTGCTTGCAGGTAGGAATATCCCAAAGATGAGGACCCCGTTTGCAACCCAAAGGGAGCTAACAAATTTTGTGCGTTCCGATTCCTGCTTTGAGACCAACCCGTGGTACTTGTTCTTATTTAGACCTGCAAAGTGGATGGTCTTCCTTTCTTGTCCCCCTTGCTAACCAAAAGGGGGGTACAAACTCCAAAAAGACCACCCCCAAAATGGGTGGCGTTCCTTTGGTCTATCTTTAACACCCACTCCAAGTGGGTAATACTCATCCCATATTAAAGACATATTAATCAACCTCAGTTTATTAGTATGGGGGTGTTCCCCTCCAAAACTGGTCTGATTCCCGGGAGAAGCACCCCCCTAAATAAGCTGGGTTGGACCATTTTAGTGGAACTATCAAGTTTGGACCTTTTTGGGCCAGTCTACTCGATTGGAAGTGAGAAATATGGGGTCAACATCAAGGAAAAGCCATTCCAAATCAACCCCCGTACAAATCTTCCCCTCCAACAGTGGTCTGATTCCCCACTCAGGGAGAAGCACCCGCTATGAATAAACCTGTTTTTGCTTTTACCTGTTCCACAGGAAACCTTTATAGTTTGTTCATGGTTTCCTATTTTTAAACCTGGTTTTTCACCTTTTGTTCACAGGAAACCTGTTGTTTTTCATGGTTTCAAGGGCCCCTACCATGGGGTCAACATCACCAAGCTCCAACAAGCGCGCCCCCCCCCGGTCCAGGAGCTGGGCCCAGAGGCAGCCCTCGAGCCCGCCGAGTGCTGCCGCCTGAGCACAGGCGGGGCGCGCGCGCCGCGCGCCGCGCGCGCCTCGGCGCCCGAAGCGCCCGGCCGTCAAGTGCTCGGCGGGGCCCTTGGGAACCTGAAGCTGTTGCAAGCCCTCCGGGTGCAAAAAAAGCTTTTTAAAGATATTGTTTGTCGGTTGGGTGGTTGGTGCATTTTTGTTTTTTAAGATATTGTTTGTTGGTTGGGTGGTTGGAGTTCCGAATTTACACCACAAGTTGAGTCACTATTCGCAGGAGAGCTGAGGGCAGCCCAGGAATGCGGTTGGCGCAAAGTCCGGGGAACTTTAGAATTGTTGTTTTCAATATGCCCTTTTGGCTCAAAATGGGTTGTCTTTCTATTTTTAGGGTACTCCTTCAAATGGTGGTTTTCCTATTGGCTTCTCTTTGAAACCAACCAAAAGGGTGTCCCCCCTCCTGCAAAGAAAAACACGATAAAACAACATGCAACTTCCCCCTTTGAAGAATTCGTCATCGGGAAAGTTGTTTGTCAGAAGTTGAGCGGCAGCCACCCTGCAAGGGGGTCCGTTCTGATTCGTGAGGCGCCTTGTTTTTGCCCGTTCCTTGGGTGTCTCTTTTTTAGGATTTGGACCCCCCAAAATGGTGGTTGTCCTTTTGGTTTCCATTGAACACAACCAAACAAGAAGTACCCAAGAAAGAGAGGTACCCGCTTTGCCAGAAGGGCATGACAGATACTCAACTTTGCTGCGCCATGTCATGACTAGACAGTAGCAGTCCAATATGCCACAGCAGCATCAACAATGACGACATGTGAGTGCTGGTAGCACACAATGATGAGTCATAAAGACTTGTTCCGCGCATGTGCAGCAATTTGGTGGTGTAGATCCCCCTCTCTCCAGTGTCTCCGAGCAGCCAGTGGCTTGGCAATGGAACACTTCAAGAAACAAATTGGCTCACAATGAAACCACCAGGGGACCGTAGGTTTTGGTCCATGCTGCCCTTTACCAGGACAAGCCATTTTGGGGTTACCCTATTTTGGACCCGCCGCCAAATAGGGATGGTCAGCCGCCAGTTACTCTTGTTACTCTTGCCGGCATTGCGGTACATGAGATGCTGGACCAGCTGTTCAATCGGCTGTGGCCTCCAGATTTCGGAACGGGGACTCAATGATTCCTGTCGAGCTAGACGTCTCACACTTTGCATTCAAAGTCCCTGGGGGCTTGTTCATGGATTTTGTTCTGAATTGAAATAAGTCCCAGACAGATTCAGGATATACATTTCAGGATCCTGAATTCCAGGTGTTTGTTCTTTTCTCTGCGGCGCAATTCCAAAACCTCAAGAAGAGCAGGGGTTCGAATGTTCTAAACCACCAATTCCAAGCACCTTCATGTTCGCTTATATGTTCAGTTCACATGTCTTCCCCCATAGCTCCATCACGTTTGGAGGCTTTGCTCACTGTCGCAGGTTGGAGCGGCTCCATGCCCCAGATGCAGGCAGGGCCTTCGGCTGTGGGGGGTTCCCATTCGCTTGAGCCACGTGCTCAAAACCGATTCGGGAGATGAAGCTTAGTAAGGGACAATTTCCTTGCCAGAAATAGCTTCTGAATTCCGCCTTCTTATTTCTTGAAGCATGGTTCTGGGTCGACCATGTTAGTACCGGGTTTTGATTATGACTCACTTCACATAGGAACCCGCACCGAAGACTTGGCTCCCATTTCAAAGGGGGCGGTTCCCATTTTTGGGCGCGCATGTTTATGGGGTGACGGGATCACTGATGTAGTTCGACGCACGCAGGGTGAATGTTTATGCATGACTTTGGCGGCTTGATTTGACACCTTTGCCGAAAAGTGTATTGATGCATGTGTGTGTGTGTGTGTGCGCGCACTCTGTGTGGGTGTGTGGGTGTGTGGGTGCGTGGGTTTGTGTGTGTGTGTGTGTGTGTGCGCGCATGTGTGTGCGTGTGTACGTGTATTCGACAAATTATCGCTTTAAGTTGCACAGCACAAGTCGCAGCGACCCTCCAGATGCACCACTTAGATATCACTTGGGTGCTTACGCCCCATGGGGTAGAATTCCCATTTGTGTGTGTGTGTGTGTCGGTTTTTAGGGGACTTTCAAAATGAGTTGGTTTTTGGGTTTCCCTTCCGTCTGGAAAGGTGTGCCAGTTGGACCACAACTTTGTCTTCACTGCCTCCGGCCCCGAGTCCTTGAGCTTGGGCGAGCGCGACACGGAGGCGCGCGCAGAAATGCCTCGTGCTTCTTTTTGGGCAGAAGGCGCCCAGGTCTTAAGGCGAAAGGACTGGGACGCTACCCTTGGGATGCTACCCTTTTTTGGGGGTCCCCAGTTTTGACACATACCCAAATATACATAGATATATATACATATGTATGTATGTAGAATAAAAAATGTATAGTTTATATATATATATATATACACACATTTTGGGTTTTTAAGCGTCACTAGGAAGCTGAAGGACTCATGTTGTAGAGACGCAGGTGGATACCTTGGAGTACTGGACGCTGGAGGAGTATCGCGAGCGATCGGCCCCCTGCCTGAAAAAGGGAGCGTCATCTTTCGGCGGTGCCTGGATCATCTTATGTGGACCTTTAGACCTTCAGAACTTGCCTGTTCCCAGCCGTCCGGTTCCTGAGGTTTTCTAAACCTTTATAGTTGGTTTAGTGGTTGGGTTTCCGTTAAACCCACTAAAAGTTAAGCATTTGGCAGGGGATCTGAGGACAACCCATATGTCCATACTGTGGATGGTTGCGAAATCCATTTCGCACCGCCCGTTCAGAAACCCTGGTTGCAACCATTGTTTGTTGGTATTCACAGGATAATTGCAATTTCGAGGTTTCTTAGGTGATGCAGGATTTCGACCATCCAACGCTAGATCCAAATGTTAGTGGGTTTTGGGCGCTGCGTGTTCGGGCAAACATCGATGTGTGTTCGGGCATTGCTCACATGGTTTGCATGGTCATCTACCATGGTTTCCAAAAGGCTTAGGAAGGGTACAAGAAAACGAGGAAATGGACTTACTGGGTGGACGGGAACACACTCCAATCCACCTCGCGGTCCGGATTTTCGATGAGGCGAAGGCTCCTTTCGAGTTTGCCCCATGGGTGCACGCGCTGATCCTGGGTTGCCTCGAGTGCTTTGAGCCAGGCCGAAAGGGAGATGGATGTGGGTATGTTGTTTTGTGCTCAAGGATTTGGCCCCCCCAAATTGCCAAACCGAAGGAGGAGAACCTTCAAGACCAACCATGAAGCGACTCTTCAAGATTGCGCTGGGTTCCTGTGTTTCCCTTGAAAACTTGGAAATCTAGTTCAACGCCTCCCGTTCAGAACGGGAGGCGTTGCATGCAGCTGAAACTTGCTCGGATGCAACAAGCTGCAATCTCGTGGTGTTTGAAAACATAAACACACTATCTTCAGAGAACCTTCTGAAGTCATGCGATTGGAGTCAGCAGGTCACAACTTGGCTGTGAGCGAGCTGCTTGAGTCTGGTGGGAGTCAGAATTTTGACGGATTCGTGAACCCCCGCTGGATGAAGCAGGGGTCCATTTATTAGAAGGGATCCATCACGTTTTTGGGAAACACTCAACGCGCCAGGTTGATTTCTCCGGTGTTAGCATGAGTTTGCTCGGCTGAGCAACAAGGCTGCTGAAACAGACCTTGCACTCTGCCGGTGCCCCTGGTTTGGCATGACCAACTTAGAGGCGATAGACCTCAATTGCCGTTATTTCATAGTTAGGGCCTGTTGGCAGGGTCCAAGTGGGTCGATGCATGGCTGGAGCAAGCATGACACATTGGGAGGGCCATATTACTTAAGCTTGCAGTCTCGATGAATACTGAGTCTTGCTATATGCTCACGTCCAATCGCGCAGGTTTCCATGTTTTCACTTTGCTGCCTGCCCTTCTCCAGTTGCTTTCCCTTTGGTTTTGTTTTTTCCTCGCGGTTCCAGGGCGGGCTCCTTTTTCCCCGGCCCAGAATCTCTGATCAAAGCCATGGGTCTCCCATGCGCTACCGGGTCGCGAGGCTGAAGGCTGATGCAGACCGCAACAAAAGAGCCGCTGCGCTGGGGAGTGCAGCTGGATGTGGCTGTAGCAGCTTTGTCATAGATGCGTGTTCTGAGTATAAGACAAGGTGCTAAATAGTTTCATACATTTGTCAGTAGTACCCTTCAGTCCCTTTCTAACAGTTTTGGCACCCCATAAAATTGTATAGTCGTGCCTGATGTGGGTGTGGGTCAAAATAGAGAGGGCAACGCATTTGGGGCTACCCCATTCTTGACCAGCCATGTGTGTGGCGTACGCCGCCAATGCTGAATACCTTTGCTAGAAGCAAAAAGAGGACTTCACCTCAGAATGTGGCACTCTTTCTTTCTGTATGCGCAGAAATGCATGCCGCGTAGGTACTTGAACGCAAAACTCAGAGCGCGTAGGGCGTAGGCGCTTTCATACTGACATGTACTTCGCATAGGCAGTCCCGCATGGTATTTGCACATGTCGTAGGCGCCGTCGTACGCGTGTGATACGTCAGTGCCACTACCTTGCCGGAAAGAATCTGTTCAGTTGGCGGGCTGTGAAAAGAAGACTGTGTCACCTTTGTCCCTTTTCCGAACCCTTTTTTTCGGCGGCATTCCGGCATTCCTTTCTTTTCCGGCGTGCCTTTCACCCGTCTCAGGCACAAGGGGCGGTTTCTGGGCGCGCCAAGCGCGCGCAGGTGAAGGAGTTGATGGGCAGGAAGTAGACGGGCAGTGAGCCTTTGAGCATTCGATCCAGGGGACCCGGTTCCCCTGGCCTCGCCCAAGCGTCGGAAGGCTCGGCTTGGGTTTTTTGAATATGACGAGTCTGGCATGACTTGTTCATGGTTGTTGGGACACACTTTACATGTTTGCTATTGCGGTTTAGTGGTTGAAACCCCCACTGAACTGCTATTGTTGTCAGTTTTGCTCCCCTCCAACGTCAAGCACGTGTGAGGGCGCATTCCCACCAGCGCCACATGGGAAATGCCAGAGTGCAAAGGTCTGAAGAAGTTTGGATTCATCAAACGTTGCAGTAACTTGTGGCCAGCTGTTCTGCTTTTCTTCCGGTAAGATTCGGGGGGGGGGGGGGGACGCGCTGACCCTGTTTGGCGAGACAAGTTGTTGCATTGTCTTCACTAACGATGGACTATAAGGGCAAAGATGTCGTTTGTTGAGCCAAAGCAACACATCAAACATGGGGTGATGTCTTTATTGGGGTCCCGGACCCCCCAAATGGTCCCCACCCATTTAAAGATGAATTGGGGGAGGGGGGTGTCCCCTGGAATTCCATTTATGGTTCCATTTTCCCTTTTATGGGGAAGACTAAGAACTGGAATTGGGGACCCCCCAGCCCCCTCCCCCTCATGGTAAGCCTCAAGAAACCACCAGCCAGCCACCTGGGGCGTGTGCCTGCAGCTGAATCCGGGGCTCCGGGCCGTGCAGAGACGTGCCCTGAGTTTTGACCGGGCTGCGCGCCGGCGAAAGATGATCTCGCTCGCGCGACCGTTTGGGCGGCAACTTCCGATGGCCAAGAGCATGTTGTGTCTTAAACTAGGGAAGTTCCAAAGAACGGCTTTTGCAAACTTCGGCTTCCCTTCAAAAGCACACCACATACAGGTTAGAATTGCATTGGCCTGCGGATGGGATCAGGAATCAGCATCCTCACGCACTTGCCTATCTCGGATTGCAGGTGCTTCAAGTGTTTGTTCTGGACAGACGGGTTCCGAACTTTTGTGCCATGAGCCTGGGGCTTGGTCTCTGGGTGAGGGACCGTGCCCTTTTTGTGGGGTCAAGACCGGTCAAGATCAACTGCAGCGGACCGATTGGTGGGGTTGGGTTGTTTCACATCCCAGGAGACAAGAAAGTGTATTCAATTCTGCGGGCACTGAACATGCCAAAAGGTCGCGCAGGTTCCGTGGAGACAACCGAGCCACGCTGCAGGATGCGAGGGGTGCTACTTTGTACAGACTGAACATAGGTCTTGAGCACAGATCGCTCTATTTGGGTATGTGCGTTCCGAGGGTACTTCCTCGTTGGGAAAGCAACCATTGGGGGTCCAACTCCCTATTTTGAGGCATGCCATTGGTGAACACATTTGTACACTTTGAAGAAGCGGCAATTGGCTCCGTAGTCCCATTCGCCGGGAATACTGCGATATGCGCCTCTACGTGCCTCGACTGCGAAGTCTGTTGTTGGGGCTGACAATGTGCGCCAACTTCCAAAACATGTATTTTGGTAAGGTCATGGTTGAATGAAGAAAATGTAGGGAACCCAGTTGTTCGGTGTTGTGTGTTTGCCAGTGAGGAGTATGGATCTCTGAATTGTTTCTTGAATCTTGGCAGGTAGTCGGCAAACTGGCATCGGCACATGTGCACCTTGTGTTCTTGGAATTGGCATGTGCGATCTTGTCTAGCATCAGCCAGAATTGCTGCATGCCTGCTCAAGTGTGTTGTGAACCGTTCATACGTGGTTGCGGGTGTTTGTTTGTCATTCGCTTTTTAAACGTCTGTCTTTCTGTCTGCGTGTCTGCCTACCTGCCTGCCTGCCTTCCTGTGGTTTTTGTTGTGTGTGTGTCTCTCTCTCTCTCTCTCTTTCTGTCTCACTCTTTCTCTTTCTCCGTCTCTCTCCCTTTCTCGCCCTCCGTCTCTCTCCCTTTCTCGCCCTTTGTCTCTCTCCCTCCCTTTCGTTGTGTGTGTGTGAGTGTGTGGATGGGTGGTTCTTTGTGTGTTGTATTGTGTGTGTGTGTGTGTGTCTCGAGTGTGTTTGTGTGTTCTTTTGGTTGTTTGTTTGTTTCTTTGTTTGGTTGGGTGTTTGCTTGCTTGAGTGTTTGCATGGTTTGTATTTTTTGTTTGTTTTGTGTTTGTCTCTGTTTTTGTCATTTGTGTTAAGTGTTTGTGCTTGTTCTTCTTTTGGTTTTCATACTTGTGTTTGCTCTTGTGTGTGTGTGTGTGTGTGTGTGTGTGTGTGTCTGTGTGGATGCATGAACATGTTTGCCGAGGCTTATGACATAAACATGGTACCATGGTCAACAGGCCTGACCTGCTTGCTTCAAGTTATCGACATTTCCAGCAATGCATGAGTTGGCGTTTTATCGAGCTATTTGGCAAACCGTTGCCCTAGTAGCTCTATAGGGGATTACTGTGCAGCAAAAGGTTTACCTTTCTATTTCTGGGTTCTTTGGGCAACAGTTGTTTGTACTGAAAGGAATTTGGTTAGGGTCTGAGCCCTACACGCAGATCGACACCATGAGCGCGGCTGGAAAGAAGAAGCCTGCCTCAAGTGCAGTTGCATCTTAGCCGAATGAAGCGACGGGAGTACAAAATGTGAATTCAAGATGGATGTGTGGGGGTTGATCACAAGGTCCCTTACATGGGATAACCACCAAAAAAGATGATAGTTGCCACTAAACGGGAAAAGTTACCCATGGTCATTTGGGGGCCAGGAATATTGATCAACCCCCATGTTTTTTGAGGGTACCCCTTTTGCCTTGCTTTAAAGGGAAAGCCAAAGGAAAGCTGTCATTTGTGGGGTCCTATAAAAACACATACCCACATAGCTTAGAGTTTCGCAAATTACAGCAAACTCACCCATGAAGAAGATTCCCCATTCTCGGGGATTCCTTATTTCTGCCAATGTGCCGACATTCCCATGACGAGACCAAGAAGAAATGTCCGCTATCAACAGATTGACATCTTGAACTTTGGAGGCCAGTATATGGGGAGCCATGATTGCCTATTTACTAGCCAATAAGCCAGGGTTTCGTGCTGTGGGTTCATATTTGACACATAACTTCTGCCTGTGAGCCAGGAAACGGGTCCTGTTCCCGGTTTAAGCGAAGAACCAGCCAGGTCTTGCCGAGAGGATTCCCCAAGTAGCGAACCAACCACCTCCAACCAAAATTGCCTGGTGACAGTGTTGCAAATTGAAGGGTTTGAATGTATCCTATTCGACATGTGTCCCTTTGGTGGGGGGTGACTTTGTTTCAGGGTACCCTTGTGTGGATAGCTTGAAAGGAGCACCCAAAGGAACTTCCATTTGCTTAAGAATCTTCTTGTTTTTCGTTTGTTGGTTTTAAAGGGACTCCATGTTTCCAGGGGGGCTGACGCAAATGGAAGGAACAACCACCATTGCCCCGAGTTTTGCGACCCTTCGTCCTGCTCAAGGCCTATGCCCCCAGCTCTAGCGCGTAAGAGGGGTCCGTCGTTTCGTCGAGAAAAATCCGCGGAATCCCAAGCTGCGATTCCATGTCGGCATCCCGGGACCTCCCATTGATCCAGGATTGTTCAAGTTCCTTCTGATCGCAAGCTGCCAAAGTTGGAGTGCCTTATCAGCTGCTTGATTTGGGTTGAAGTCCGAGCCGGGCTGTGATCTCTTACTTTGGTGATTTCCGATTTCATGTCCTTGCGCCATGGAGTGGCATGATCAAGAGTGGCGCGCCAAGGATCCAGGCATGCCACATGGAGGTAGGCCCATTTCTGGAGGGCCTTTCCATTTCAAAAAACGGAGCAAGGACTTCCATGTGCTGAAATGAATAGTTGCCCCTTGCTGGTTTTAAAGGAAACCCATTACTTGCTGAACAGGTTTTTCTCCCGTCGGTTTTGAAGGGAATCTATCACTTGCAGCAGTTTTTTTTTAGCTGTTTTTTTTTTTTTTTTTTCCGGGACACCGAAGCACTCGGAGGAGGACACCGTCAAGCGATCGCTTGCCGCCTCGATGGAGCCAAGGGAGGGTCAAGCAGACAGTTGTTAAAGGCCTTGATCTCAGTTGTTGAAGCAAATTGAACCACCAAACCACCAATCAAAACCACCAGTTGCAGGCAAGCGAATAAACCGAACTGATCAGTTACTCAGTTGTTCAGTGGCTCCAATTATTTTCCTTTTTTTTTTGGTGGCTGCCCCACTAAAATGGTCCAAGCCCCAAAAAAGGGTCCCCTGTTTTTTCTAAGGTCACTGGACAACTGAGTGATGGGTCTGGGTCTATGAGAGTTGCGACCTGACAAATATGGTTTGCGAGCGACAGGGGAGCGGTGATTGGGAACCCGTATTTTGGCCTGATGACTCTGCATGTCTTTCCTTCCAGTCAACGGACCCCGCAAAGAGACGCATTGAACCCATGCAGCCCGAAAAGAGCTTGTTCCCCTCCCTTTTTTTTCTGAACCATCCCAAGACTCAAACCAGATGCCAATGGATGGGGATTGGATTGCCACAAAACAAACAAGCACAAACTCCAAAAGACCGACCACAGGGAGGTTTCTCACGCTTGACCCCCTTCTTCATGTTTTTTTTTTGTTTTTTTCGGGCAACCGCCAAGAAACACAGGCCATTTTGAGCAACACCCATAGGGCTTTGTCTCAAAATAGGAATCGGACCCACCAAATCGGCAAGGGCGTCCTTTTGTTTTTTCTTTGAGACCAGCAGGGATTGCCCCCCAAAAGGACACCTGGACCCTCACAATTCCGACTCAAACATGATTTTCTGCAACCCGAAGGTTGGTGAACAGGCTTTGGGTAGTTTGAGGGTCCAAGCAGACCCATGGGTCGCGGCTTCCGCGTTAGCACGGGGACCTGAGGTTGTGTCGGCTGCTGGTCTCGCTGGGTTCGGCCGAGTCGTAGCTCCGCCCTGCTTGAGTCGCCGCCTTGCGACTGGGTACCCAGTAGTGCCCTTTCTCACCCGTTTCTTTTTTGGGGGGAGGGTTTTGCTACTAAAATAGACGCAGAAAAAAGGGTACTCTTATTCCAACCTCTCTACTGGAGGACCTAGATGAAGCCATTCTTGACTATGGATTTGCAAATGTTGCATCTTTTGAATTATGATAGATGAGAAGTAACCGGAAGACCGCGGGATGACTACGGGAAGACTACGGGAAGACTATGACTACAGCATGACTGCGGGAAGACGACGCAAAAACCTCAGGAGACTACTACATGTAATCATGACATGGCCAAACTCCCCCCGCAAAACAAAGGCAAGTCTTTGCCACAAGGATTTAGCGATGTTCCAGTTTGGCGCATAAGGGTTTTGGCGGGGCTCATTTTTTGGGCTCTGGTGCAAAGACACATCCACTAGGTTGCAAGTTGGAATGCCCTTACTCAAGAACCGAGATGCTCGGAAATCCAGGAACTCACGAGGAGCTGGCCCCAAAGGGGCCCTTTCTTTTTGGCTGGCCGCTCAGCTCGGCGGCAACCCCGGCTGAATGTGGCGTCCGATGTCCAGAGATAAGCGCTATGTGCTAGGTAGGGGATTCCTGAAGACTGCGCAGCGTCTCCGTTCAACTTTAAAGTTCATCAAAGGACATTCGAGACCATCAAGGGCCATCGGCATAGGGTATGTAGCACAAACGGACACGCATACATTATGCACTTGCACACACAATGTAACACAGCCCCTAATGATTGTCATTTTGAACGGGGGGTGCAAGCGAAGTAATATGTGGGCCTGCAGGTGTGTGTGGGTGTTTGTTTGAAGCTACACTTCTTTTGGGAGGTTGTCGAAAGGAAACTAGAAGCAGAATCGCTTTGGCTTCTTTGACACTATTTTCTTGAAAATGCAATGTTTGGGGGTCCCAAAAAACCTTTCCCATCCTTAGATTCTTCAGGAAGTGTACAAATTCGGATGACAGACTACGGAACACGCTAAAGCGCCCAGTTTTACAATTTCGCCTTCTTTCTGGCGAAAGTGGTCCCCGGTGCGACTGGAAGTTGATTTCTTTCGAAGGTATACCAAGCTTGTGCCAGCAAAGATCGTGGAACGACAATCCTGTCCTCTGGTGCGAACCCTGGCTGTTAAGCAAAGCTGATTGAACCTAGTGTGCTCCGGAAGAAGAGCTGACGCGCTGACCTTTCCAATGCTCCACTAACTTTCCAATTCGCCCCAAGTTCGGCACACTGCTGCACCCTGGCCGTAAGTTTTGCATTGCTACCCTTTTCTAGATCGCACTGGCCTTGCACCTTGTCCGATTGAACCTGATGCCATTAATTGTGTGTGTGTGTGTGAGTATGTCCAAAAACAACATGCACGCCTGGTTGCCTTACTAAAACCTGGGTGCTGGTGAAACCAAGCAACTCCGGAGCACCATTTGCAGAGGCATGGAAGGCCGCGGAACATCAGAGAGAGGAATCCGGGTCTTGTGACACTTCGTTGCGCCAGGACGGAACGAAAGGCGGCGGAGGCGGCACTCGAAGGTGCAGCGCGTTCCTTACATGGGTGCGTTGCGCGGGCATTTTAATCATGTATATATATATGTTTATAATTGAAACAAAAAAGCAGGCCACATCCTCAAAACCAGGGTACATTGAAGGTTTGGTCAGGGACATGGGCGCCTTGGCCGCCTTGGTAACCGTTTTGATACTGATCGATTTTGAGTATGACTCAGGTGGTTTGTAGCTCCATGGAAGCGAGGTTGCTGAATGGAACCCATTGCAAGCGATGCAAGCGACTTGTTTGAGGGTCCCTCTTTTGAACAAATGAAAGCGTCAACATCTCTGCAACCTATCCCCTGCAATGGGCGGTGGTACTTCTGGGGAAAACCTGGCTTCAATTTGTTTGACGTGTTTGGGAACCAAAAAGGCCGCGCCAGGTCTTGCACAAGGGCTTTGTGTTTTTTGTCCAGTCGCACAAGGGGAATTGCAGAAGTCACAGGATGCCATTATTCATAAATAGTTTCCGGTGTCTGCGAAGGCGAAAACAAACTTGTAATGAAAATGTGCCTTCCGCTTGCGCTGCGAAAGCGGTTGCTGTATTGTGCCATTCACAATGGCTCCTTGAGGCCTTGGCAGCCGCGAAAAGCCTACACTGGCCAACAGAATGCCCAGTGGATCATCCAGTTACTCATATAGACCTTGTCCTTCTCGTGTTGAAAGGGTGGTTCCCTTGCCGACTACCGGGTAAATGAAGAATTATATCCACTGGATGGGTGGAATCTTGCCCCGCTTCGAATGCCCAGGGCTTTAAGGGGCACTCAGAGGGCAGAGGGCATGAGATTTGAAGCCCCCGAGGGTTTCAAGCCGATTTTTTGGGGGCAGCCCTGAATTCCCGTGATTTGAAGGTGAGAAGGGTATTTTGCAAAACACGCATCCAAAAGAAGAAGTCCTTTTGCCACGCTCTGGCGTGACGGCCAGCATGAAATTCCGTCCTCACATGGCTCGCGTGGTTTGGGGGTCTGGACACTATTGTTGCCCTTTTTAGTGCGGGTTTTAAAGGGAAACCAACAGGACTACTCAATTTCGGGGATTTTCTGAAAAACACTATTGGGTGTTTTTGTTTGAGGTGTAATGTCACCCTTTGTAATCTGGGTTTTGAAGGGAAACCAACAGGAAAAACAAACCCAACTTCGGGGATTTTATCATAAAAACGGCAGTCCCAACTCCACCGGGTTGCCAGGTGCGCGCTTCTCTGCTGGCTTCGCTGCCAGGTGCGGCGCCAAGGGCTTCGCTCAAGCAGCTGAGAGGCGTCAAACGGATCTATTTGGACGTGTCATGTTCTAAAACACTTCCCAAAATGGAAAACACCTTTTGGTCTCCCCTTGAAAAGCCATCAACAACAGGGCTCACCACCAACAAAAGCAACAAGACACACTTTCGGGTGTGCCAGGGGTCGTCTCAAAAAATGTCCCACACTTAAAAACAAAACACAAAACAAAAACACAAAATCGTCCCACACTTAATACAAAACAAACAAGCAAAAACACAAAAATGGGACCCCTCCACAGCCCTCTGTGTTTTTTGGTTTTGATTCGGACGCCACAGGCTTGCCGCCTTTGGCGCCGCTGGACCCGGCAGCCAGGACGTCGTTCTCGGATGGGTCCACTTGCATCATGGGCCAACCTGGATGTGGCAAGTGGATTAGAGGTGGCTAAGCCTTGCGAAGGTGGAACCAGCTGACCAACCTTTGGCACATTTCGCCAGGGGATGTTAGGACTGAACAACTTTTCGCCAACGAATGGGTTTTCCGTTTCAAACCGCTAAAAGTGAAACTTTTAGCAGGGGAGCAGAATGCAACCGAGCAACCACTGGAACAACTTACCAGGTGAATCACTTGGATCAGTGGGTAAGCCTTGCTTGTTCAAACCAATTCGAGGCAAGCATGTGGCAGCGAGTTGCAGAGTGGATCAGGCTTGGGGGCTGGCGCCAAATGTGAATACAGCAGGATCTAATATGTGCGGCTGTCAGCACACGCAGTGCAGACCAGCCCTCCCAAACCGCAAAGGAGCCCCTTGCCACTGCCCTGAAGGCCAATTTCATCTCAAGGAACATCCGACATAGTTGATGCGTTCTTTGATGTTCCTTTGCCGTGATCCATAATATGAGGTGACAAATGAAGATACTGCAGTCCAAGGAAGATTTGATCGCGGGTAAAGGATGACAAAGGATGACACAAGGGTGATGTTTATAGGGAAGGGAATCCTGCCAGTAGCCAACGAAGTTCCACCGTCCGCGATACCTTTTTGAGCATAGCCGGACCGGTCTCAGTGACCCAGGCTGTTGCCACGGTTTCCACTCGCGATTCCTGAGGAGGCAGTACCCTTGCGGCAGCTCGCCCTCACGATTCTGCAGCCCAGTTGCAGCCAGACTTTTGTTTCCATGACCCTGCTTAGCTCGATTGAAAGCGAACCACCCTGGGGACCCTTTGTATAAATGAGTTTCGCGGATTCGTCGTCTTTTGTGTCAAGGCTCCAAATAATGTTCGCCTTTTTTGCGCTCCCCTGGAGAAGAGCCACCACAACGGGGTGGCCGTGTTTGCTGACTTGCCGTGGGAAACTTGCAGAGTTCTGCCAGGACAGTCGAGGAAACCGCGAGATGTTTCAATTCTAGGCTCCCAAGTTGACCCCCAGCCAGATAAGGTCCATGAGCAGGGTCGTCGCCTTATTGATGCCTAAGGCCCATTCCTGCAACCGCCCCCTTGAACCCCCCATGAGCCGTGGCTGGATGGCAACAGCCATTCCCAGAGTTCTTCTTCGAGTTCTGCTGCCTGCCCTCGTTGGTTTTCTAGTTTTATAGGGAGTTGAATAGAAACCTTCGTTTCCATTTTGGCAGAAACACACCTGAATCGGCGTTGGGCGCTGCTCTTTCTGGCGAGCTTGTTGTGTTTTTTTCTTTCCTCGGCAAATGCAGCAAGTGGCAGAGGGGTGCCATGGGCGACACGCACTCTTCACCAACATTTACAGTACGTAGCGTAAGGGCCTAAATATCAGAGACATTCTTCTCCCATGATCATGAGTTAATTAGGTTTCATTGTGCCCCACAAACCTTGGTGGCTCCCAGCCATCCCCTTAGCCTTTTGGCCTTTTAGTGTTGAGTGGTAGTTTCCGTTTAACCCACTAAAAGTTAGTCACTTTCAGCGGGGGGTCTGAGGGCAGCGCAGAAACCCATTGTGATCATTTAGCTCCTGATAATGGGCTGATCCCGGCCAGAGGCGCCAGCTGACGCAGAAGCACTGGTCCCAGCTGGGACCCGAGGATCAACATGCTTGCCGAGAGGCACTGGGGCAGATGGTCGCGGCTGTGTGTTGCCGAAATTAGGAACCCAAACACGACGGGCTGGAATGATGTTGGTGTTTTTGTTCTTATGAACATGGTTGTGTTTGCGTGCTTGTGTGCTTGTGTCTTGGTGTGTTCGTAATGTTTGCGTGTGTGTGTGTGTGTGTGTGTGTGTGTGTGTCTCTCGTCGTGCTTGCGTGTTTGTCTTGTTGTGTTGTGGTTGGTTGCGTTATGTTGAGCCAGTTGTGTGGTGTTGCGCTGTGTTGTGTCGTGCGGTGTGGTGCTGTGATTGTGTTGTTGTGTATATGTGTGTAGTGTTTGTATGTGTATATAGTATATATATATATATATATGTGTGTGTGTGCGCGTGCCGTGTTGTTGTGCTTTGTGTGTGTGTGTATGTGTTTATGTTGCGTCATATTGAAGAGTTGACTTAATGATTTGTGTTTGTGTTGGTGTTGTTTTAGTGGTGTGTGTGTGTGTGCGCGTGTTTGCTAGGTTTCTTTGTTGTTCCTTATTTGATTGTAGTTGTTTGGCAGTGCCTGAGTTTGATTCTTGTGTGTTTGCAGTTGTTCATTTGCTTGTTTGTGTGTTTGCTTGGGTGTTTGTTGTGTTGCTTGCATTAAACTCAGGTTACCCCAAATTATTGGCCCAGGGTAAATGGGAAGCCACTGCTGAACCACCAAACCACCAATCAAAACCGCCAGTTGCAGGCAAGCGAATAAACCGAACTGATCAGTTATTGATCCCTTCGCTTTTCAGCGCATTCTTCTCGCTGCAGTGGGAACATGGTTTAGGTCCAGGTGTGTGGCTTCTGTCATCCACTGCAATGCTTGGTGCACACTGTGAGTCGAGTCATATTGTTGGTATCGGCGTTGTCTTAGTCATTCCGTCGAACTTGTTGGTTGTGGAACATGTGTGTTTTTGACTAGTTGTTGACTTGTTGACTGCACGGCTGCACGTGTTCTCAGCCACAGCTGAGTTAGTACATCAGCGGTCCATCTGGACATTCACCGCACTTGCATCGTTTTCACAAATCGTCCTTCACCGCCCAGGTCTTTGGGTTTCAGAAAAAGTACAGCTGCCCGTGCGCGACAGAACTCGCAACTCGGATGAGTGTTCCTTACCTTACTCACTGTTTGAATGCTTTCTGGGGAGTATCAAAATCCGAATGCGGTTGGTTGACTTCCACTGACCATTTAACGCTTTCTGAGTATCGAGCAATTAGAAAGTGGTCGGTTTCATGTTGTGGTCCTGCCCACTTCGGGGTAACTTTGGCAAGAAAGAACGGCCAGTCTTCCGTTTCGGCATTTGATCGAACAACGCGTGAGACAAATCCGATTTACCGAGCGTTCACGAGCCAGCCCAGGGAACCTGTTGAGGGATCCGTGGGTAGTTTTGCCCCCCTCCCCCGCCCCTAGACTGCCCTATTTTAGTGCCTCCGGCTCAGGCCGCCGACATTACAGGCCTGCTTTCTTATTTGCGTCCCTTTGGAATTGTCCCCTTGCCCCCTTCCCCTCTGAGATTTTTGCCCCCCTTTCTTTGTTGAGATCCATTCCCCCTTTCCGCCCGAAGGCCTTTTCTCCCTCTGTTTTTTTCCCTTTTCCTCCCTAAGATGTTTTCACCCCTCTCCCTGTTGAGATCCTTTCCCCCCTTTCCCCCCTAAGGCCTTTTCCCCCCTGAGATCTTCTCCCTTTGCCTCCCTAAGATCTCCCAGATCGTCTCCCTTTCAGGGAGAAGATCTGGGAGAAAAGGACTTAGGGGGGAAAGCCCAACAGGGAAAGGGGGGAAAAGATTTAGGAAGGAAAAGGGAGAAGCTCTCAGGGGGGGGAAAGGCCTTAGGGGGGAAAGGGGGAAAAGGATCTCAGCGGGGGGGGGGGGAAGATCTTAGGGAGGAAAGGGAGAAGATCTGGGGACAAAGGCCTTAGGGGGGAAAGGGGAGAAATGATCTCAACAGGGAAAGGGGTGGAAAAGATCTTAGGGCGGAAAGGGAGAAGATCTGGGAGAAAAAAGGCCAACAGGGAAAGGGGGGAAAGACCTAAGGAAGGAAAAGGGAGAAGCTCTCAGGGGGGGGAAAGGCCTGAGGGGGGAAAGGGTGGGAAGGATCTCAACAGGGAAAGGGGGGAAACAATCTTAGGAAGGAAAGGGAGAAGATCTGGAAAGGCCTTAAAGGGAAGGGGGGAAAGGATCTCAACAGGGAAAGGGGGCAAAGGATCTTAAGGAGGAATAGGAAGAAGATCTCAGCGGGGGGAAAGGCCGTAGGGGGGAAAGAGGGGAAAGGATCTCAACAGGGAAAGGGGGGGAAAGATCTCAGTGAAAAAGGGAGAAGGTCCCAGGCAGGGAAAAGGCCTTAGGGGGGAAAGGGGGAAAGGATCTCAACAGGGACAGGGGGCAAAGGATCTTAGGGAGGAAAAGGGAGAAGATCTGAAAAGGCCTTAGGGGGAAAAGGGGGAAAGGAGCTCAACAGGGAAAGGTGGGAGAAGATCCTAGGGAGGAAAAGGGAGAAGATCTCGGGGGAAAAGATCTTGGGGAGGACAAGGGAGAAGATCTCAGGGGGGGGAAGGCCTTAGGGGGGAAAGGGGGGAAAGGATCTCAACAGGGAAAGGGGGCAAAGGATCTTAGGGAGGAAAAGGGAGAAGATCTTGGGGGGGAAAACGCCTTAGGGGGGAAAGGGCGGGAAAGGATCTCAACAAGGAAAGGGGGGAAAAGATCTTAGGAAGGAAAAGGGGGAAGATCGCAGGGGGAAAAAAGGCCTTAGGGGGGAAAGGAGGGAAAGGATCTCAACAGGGAGAGGGGGGAAAACATCGTGGGGAGGAAAAGGGAAAAACTCAGAGGGAGAAAGGGCCTTAGGGGGGAAAGGGGGGATGGATCTCAACAGGGAAAAATGGCAAAAGATCTTAGGGAGGAAAAGGGAGAAGATCTCAGGGGGGGAAAGGCCTTAGGGGGGAAAGGGGGGAAAGGATCTGAGCAGGGAAAGGGGGGAAGGGAGAAGATCTGGGGGCAAAGGCCTTAGGGGGAAAAGGGGAGAAATGATCTCAACAGGGAAAGGGGTGGAAAAGATCTTAGGGAGGAAAGGGAGAAGATCTGGGGGAAAAAGGCCAACAGGGACAGGGGGGAAAGATCTAAGGAAGGAGAAGCTTTCAGGGGGGGAAAGGCCTCAGGGGGAAAGGGTGGGAAGGATCTCAACAGGGAAAGGGGGGAAACAATCTTAGGAAGGAACGGGGGAGGGAAGATCTTAGGGAGGAAAGGGAGAAGATCTGGGAGAAAAGGACTTAGGGGGGGAAGCCCAACAGGGAAAGGGGGGAAAAGATCTTAGGAAGGAACAGGGAGAAGCTCTCATGGGGGGGAAAGGCCTTGGGAGGGAAAGGGGGGAAAGGATCTCAACAGGGAAAGGGTGGGAAAGATCTTAAGGAGGAAAGGGGGGGGAAGATCTTAGGGAGGAAAGGGAGAAGATCTGGAGAAAAGGACCAAGAAGAAAGGCCTAGATCAGGGAAAGGGGGGAGAAAGATCTTAGGAAGAGAAAGAGGGAGAAGCTTTCCTCCCTAAGATCTGGAAATGAAGGGGGGAAAGGGGGAAAGGATCTCAACAGCGAAAGGGGATCTCAACAGGGAAAGATCTCAGGGAGGAAAGGGAGAAGATCTGGGGAAAAAATGCCTTAAGGGGGAAAGGGGGGAAAAGATCTTTGGGAGGAAAAGGGAAATCTTTCTCGGGGGGAACAGGCCCTAAGGGGCAATCGGGGGACAGGATCTCAATCGGGAAAGAGAGAAAAAACTTTGGGAAGAGAAGGGTGGAGATCTTGGGGGGAAAAGGCCTTAGGGGGGAAACGGGGGCAAGGATCTTAAGCGGGAAAGGGGGGAAGAGATCTTAGGGAGGCAAAGGGAGACGAACTCAGGGAAAAGGACTTAGGGAGGAAAGGGGGGGAAAGATCTTTGGGAGGAAAAGGGAGAAGAACTGAGGGTGGGAAAAGGCCTTAGAAGGAAAAGGGGGGAAATAAATGATCTCAACAAGGAACTGGGGGGGGGTTCACCAGCATAGGCAACATCCCCAGCATCACTTGCATCATCCGCATCCTTGGCAGGCGCTGATGCGGATGATGCAGGTGATGCTGGCGATGTGCCGCTGGAGCTGCTAAGGATGCGAAAGCGCACCCGGGGGGAATCGAACACCCCAATGTTTTTGACAAACTGAGTTGCGCAAGCCAGTGAAGCGTCTTCGAATCACCGCGTGGTACGTGGACCCCCCCCCCCCCCGCAATAGTCTGAAATGCTGCCCCTGGGGACGGGTTAGGGGAGGGGTAACAGGTAAAGGGGTAAGGAGCATTTCTTATGTCCAACACGCCGCCTGTTGTCGGCGGATTTAGATTATGTTTAGCCAGGTCTGCCTTTCGGGTCAGCTTTGTTTTTGCTTGTACTGATGTGGTGGTGCTCAAGGCTGCATATGAGCCATGGCTTCCACTACTTCCTTGCCAGCCACACATGACCAGATCCCAAGCAACTTAGCGCAAGAAAGCTGAAGCCAAAGGAATCTCATGCCCGCCTCACCCCGAAACGGGCGCACCACCACCCCCCCGCTCACATCGGCGGCGGTCTTTTTTTCCTCTGGGAGGCGCTGCTGCGGGGCATGGCAGAGCCCGACCGGCGCCTGCAAGGCGGCGATTGAGTGTTTCTTTTGGGTGCCAGGAATGGGTTGGAACCCCTTTTTGGTCTGACCGGTCTAGGTGCCCTTTCTCACCCGTTTTTTGGGGGGAGGGTTCCAAACTACTTGGATCCGTCACTTGGGGAACATCCCCGACAAGGCGTGAATTACAAAGATTGCTCCCCAGATGACCAATAGTATTGCTTTCCTTCAGCCCGGGAGCCAAGTGTCCACTCTGTTGCAATCTTTCTTGGATCAGCTCGGTGATTTCCTGAAAATAACAATGGGTGAGTAATTGTTTAAGTGTGCCTGCAGGCGCTTGGCACGAGAGTTCCTCTGGGCCGTTAAGCACAAAAAACACCTCGTAAAGTAGTTGCAACGATTGGATGTTCAGCATGATCAGGGTATCTTTGGATGGAGCAACACTTGGAGTGTTCGAGATGACTCTTGGGATCACGCCCAATCTTTGAGGGGGTTGTTGATTGGTCGGCAGAATATCGGCGCGAGCAAGAATCTGCGAGGTTTGCTGTTGGTGTCGGTGGCCAACACACGCTCTGCTGGGCCCTGGCCTGTCTGATGCCGAGCATAATCAAAGTGATGGTTGACTTGGACTTCTGTGTTTGCTTGTGTTTACTCAGTTGCGTGTTTGATTGCTTTCTTGTTTGTTTGGGTGTTTGCCTGCCAGCTTGCTTGCTTGCTTGATTGTTTGCTTGTTTGACTGCCTTTTTTTTGTGTTTGACTGATTGTTGAGTGATTTGTGTGCTGCCTGCCTGCCTGCCTGCCTGCCTGTTTGTTTGTTTGTCTGTCTGTCTGTCTGTCTGTCTGTCTGTCTGTCTGTTTGTTTGTTTGTTTGTTTGCTTGCTTGCTTGCTTGCTTGCTTGTTTGTTTGTTTGTGTGTGTGTGCTTGTTTGTTTGTTTGTTTGTTTGTTTGTTTGTCTGTCTGTCTGTTTGTTTGTTTGTTTGTTTGTTTGTTTGTTTGTTTGTTTTGTTTGTTTTGTTTGTTTGTTTGTTTGTTTGTTTGTGTGTTTGTTTTGTTTGTTGGTTCGTTCGTTCGTTCGTTCGTTCGTTCGAACAACGTCTGTTCTGTAGCTTTGCGTACATGGTGGTGTCATTGCTTGGGTTGTGTTAGTGTCGTGTCTATTAGTGTTGTGTGTGTGCTTTCCGGCTTGCTTGCTTGCTTGCTTGCTCGCTTGCTTGTTTCTTTGTCCTGTCTTGTCCTTTTCGTCTGAGATGTTTGTCAGCCGGTTTTGCTCTTATCTCTTTTGGTGGATTTGGCGCTACGCATACCAGGCATACCACTTCATGCGAAGCTTTTGGAGAGGGCACTTTTCTTTTTGGTGTAGCCAAGAAGCATGCTAAGCCGATGTCTCAGAATGAGAGCACCCCAAAAGCCGTTGCTTTGCTTCTGGCCTCCTTGAAGAACCAAGAGCCACGTGTTTGGGTGGCATTTTCGGAAAGTTCTAGGAGTTGATTCCAACCATTCTTTTCAACCATCGTTCTTTTCAAAAACCAACTGTTTCTCCGGTGGTTTAGAAAGAAGGATGCCTGGAAATGGGGAAGCTACCCCTCGAGAAGTTGCGGGCCTCCCTTTTCGCGGTGCGTGAGCTTAGGAACTGGACCAGCGGTTGCTGAGAGGCATTACGCAGTACCAGCATCTTGCAGAGGCCAGGGTGGCAGGAGCAAATGAGCAGCTCTACAAACCGCCCGTTACATTCCAATCAAACTCGCGCGTAAGCAACTTGATACGACATAGGGATTCATGGGAGGTTTATAGAGTCGCTCAAATGTCCATGTGTGCGATTGTTTGCGGAAGATCATTGCTTCCCTCCGGTCAACCTGAACCCGGCGGGTTTCCTTTTGGTTTCCCTTGAACAGCCAACCAGAAAGGGGTCCGCTCTTTTGGACATGGGGCCCATTCAGCTTCCCCATGTCCTCTTTGGGGAGCAATATAACTTGCGTTTACTCGTTATGCGTGTTTGCGTGTTTGTATTTTTGAGAGCCTTTGTGGGGGGCCCATTTGGATGTCAAAAAGTGGCTCCTAATGGGGATAACTGCCCACATGAGCCCTGGAAGAGCGCAACCTTTAATAGGCATGATGGCAAACCTGTGAACACGTCCTAATCGAGGAAATTAACCCTCTTCCACATAAGGAGCGACACTTTTGCGGAAGAATGTCGCCATATATTGCCGTGCAGCATTGACCATCCCCTGAAAACGGATGGACATGGCGTGCGCGAAGGGTTCAGCCTGCTTCGCGTTAGGAACCTCCAGGTAAAGCCCAGGTGCTTGCCGGAGGGGCTCCGAGAAAAGCTGATCCTCAGAGAGGTCCAAAAGACAGAAACAGGATACCTTTGTGTGTTCGCATACGTGCGCTTACTTCAAGCTTGTGGTCAGACTCTGTTCCTCATTCAAAACCGCCCCAGAGAGTTGGGTCTGTATGTTTTTGAGGGTACCATTTTTGGGATGGTTTGAAGAAAGCTTGTTTTGGGCGGTCTTGCTATTTTGACACAGCCCCATTTGCAAAAGCACAAAGGATAGCCTGGCCGCCCCGCTGATTCGGTTCAGGCTGGGACCAGTCCCCAACCCTTGCTTTCCTCCAAGTAAAACATGGAATCCAACAAATCCTTGATTGTAGAGGCATCTCTTCTTGGAATTGTGTGTTCGGGTTCCATGCTTTTTGTTTTTTAAGCAAAAGGAACACACACACACACACCAACCCACAAACAAACATAACTTGTCGTGTTCCATCTTTGTGCACCTGTTCGAGGGGGTCGGGTGTTGAACGGACTTCACGCAAGTTGTCGAGGCCGTCGCGTGCGTGGAATGCCGGGAGCCCAGCCAGGCACCAGGGTTTGTTCTTGCTTTTCATGAAAGGGGTTGTAACTTGGCTGGTCTTTTCAGCTTTCCTTGAATGGTTAAGTGTTAAAAAAGAACCAGGGCTTCAACTCCCAATCCAAACCACCAACAAAGGGTCACTCCTGATCTTGGGTGCTCCATCAGACCTTTTGGCAACTTTGGTGCCTCCGGCGGCTGTCAGGCCGCCGACATTTATTTTCGCGTTGTTCCGCGGCGTTTTTGAGACAAGCTCCGGGGGGAACGCTGCAGAATTTGCAGGGCTCCTGAAAAGATCTCCATTTTGCATCCATTTGAAACATGGCTTTTTTAACACCAAAAACAGGGGAAACCACCATTTACAAGTTGCAATGCTCGGGTGTTTTTCATGCAAGGATCCCTGATTTGAGCATCACACACAAATTTCCGGTAAGTTCCCCTCACCCCGCTCGCGTTTGTACTTCCAGGATGGGACTAGGGCGGCTGTAGTGTTCTGTGATTGATGTTTCCCACCCGCGTCAAAATGTCGGCGGACGGATGGCTTTCGCGTTGAACCTACAAACGGTTAGACTTGTGGCTCAGGGGGGAAGAGCAACCCAGGTACCCCAAGTAGTCAGGCCAAGTGCTTGCAGTTTCCACCATAGATAGTACGTGGAAGCCATCACGCAAAACCTAGAAGCGAACAGACCTGGTTGCGGTGGTCCCGTCTTGGCCCCTTTGAAAGTGCTCGTCCATTTGTTGGGACCGACTAAAATGGTCGACCCAGGGGTCTCAAGTTCCCCAACGTTCCCACAAGGAAGAAAGGGGAGGGAGAGAGATCTCCCTCCACTCTCCCCTTCCCTCTCCCTTTCTCTCACTTTTTTGCCTTGTCCGTGACAGCTTAGTTCGACCGCAACGCAGGTGGATATTAATCAACATTGGGAATCAAATGGATGAATATCTCCCGCAAAGAAGTATGGAGCAAAATAACTGTTTTTTTCGAGTGGAATCTTCTTTTTTGCTGCAGTTGCAGGGGAGTAGACCTTGGTTGATCAAAAGAGGCGTGCAACATTTGTCAGAGGGGATCCACATCGCTTTTGTTGTTATGTATGTCTTCCTGTGAATCAGCCCGATTGAGTCCCGTTTCGCATTGATTATTTCAAGCCACGAGGTACACCACGAGGTATGACGTACTTGCAGGATGTAGAAGGCTTCTTTTTTTAGCTTGGAGGTTGCAGATGGGGCCTGTTGCTTTCCACTGAAAGCAAATCTAAAGGGTAGTTTAAAGTGCAATACCAGTTATGGCCATGTTGCAAATCAGTCTTTTCAACTGACTTCGAAGAAACCGGATGCTCGATATTTCCGTGCGCGGACCCTGACCGGACAAGCTTTTGCACACTGTGACCGAAGCGCACGCACAGCCAGAACCAGCACCCCCCCCCCAACGACTGGATCTGATGTAAATCGTTTGGTCCATATTTGGGGCGTGTCCCCTTTTTTTGGGTAGCCGCTTTTGGTTGGTTTTGAGGAGAAGCAAAAAGGAAGAGCCGCCAGTTGTGTGGTTCCTAGTTTTCAGACAAGCCCAATATAACTCTTCTGTTTGTTTTGCAGCGCAAGACTCAGCTTTAAATTTGTGAGTCGCCAAGCGAGTTCCAGGCATTGTGGCGCTTCTGGATGACGGCACTTTGGATGCAGCAGCCTTGGGGAGCTGATTGAGTCCTTGAGGTATGACATCAGCGGATGCCTGGACCCAAGATAAAGCTAGCCACAAAGGAAATGTTGCTTGGCACTAGCCAATTATTGAGTTGGACTCGTGAGGGTCCAGATATATATATATATATACTTTCTGGAACATGTCCGAGCCCTTGTTTGTTGCGCCGTGAAATTCCGGTGAGGGACCTTTCTCAAATTTGGCAACAGCTGGACATGCTGAGCCCTGACGGAAGGCTCCGAGCGGGCCCATGAAGCAGCTGGAGGTGTTGGTTGATGTTGGGCGGTTGCCCAAAACTCACTTGCTCAAGGCCGAGCTTTGCTTTGCATTTTTTGTCATGGCCCCACAAGGTGGTCACCTTGTATTTCTGGGTGTTTTGGGTTGATGTCTGGAGGTTTTGGCCCAAAATGGACTCCCAGAGCACGCCGAGGCTTCAGCGATTTTTTTCCGTGTTTTCGCTCAGGTCGCCAAGTCCTTGAGCCAGCTGCAGGCGCCACTTTCCGCGGGTGGTTCGAAATGGGCAGCACTTCCACTTTGGTGCATTCTGCTTAATTGGTTGACCACCTCAGGCCAGTATTCCAGGGAAACCAAGAGGTTTCTTGAGGCTGGAACCAATGAGATTGTTGGACACCCAACTGAGGTTGCCTAAGCAAAGAACGAAAACATGTTGGAGTTGACACACGTTTCGAGAAGTCCGCAGCGCTTGGTCATTATTTCCCGGAGAGTATCGACAGAATCCCAAAAGTGCCAGGTGGGGTTTATGTCCACCAAGGGGATGTTCAAATCAAGTGGATTCCTCCACAAAGCAGACAATGTGCAAACAATTTTTATGTGTTTGTCCCAGTCTGGAGGAAGTGATCTGTTTCAATAGCCAGGAATTCATCAATGCAGTTGTCCTTCAGAAAGGGCATATGGCTTCGTCTCAAAACAAGGGAGCCCAAAACATGGCTGGGAGACTGCACTGGTTCACCCTTCTGGAAGGGAGATATATTCGCAATTCATACTCCCAGAGGGTCAGTGTCCGTTTCTCTTTTTTCTTGAGAGGGCCGTCCTTCAAAATCAGCCAAACCACGAAAAGGCTTGCTGTTTCTCAGCAGGGAACTAGTTGGAATGACCCCTAAAATGCCATCCTCTATGGGTTTTGCTCTTTTTTTTGCTCATCCCCAAACGGTTCATTCCCCTTTCCCCCGTCGTTGTCATTCCGCGTTTGGGCCATTGGGTGGCACTGGGAACGTGCCAGGCGCCGCTCCTACAACTCGCTTCCTCTGAGGCGCGGAGGTCAGTAGGTCTCGGAGGTATTGGTTCTAAACGTAAATCACGTCAATCAGAGGGGTTCTTTGGTTTTGAGTAATCACGGATTGTTCTGACTTAGTTCTATATTGGCTACGTTTTGGGTATGTCATCAGGGAGTTTAAGTGCATGTTTGTTAGTCACGGGGCTGGATATGGAGCCATCATACAGCGGCAACAAGGGTCTCTCGTTTTTGGTTCTTTTTTCTTAGGCTGAACGCTATGGGTGATGCATCAGAAAGAACCGATACCCTCAAAGCTACCAGGTAAGTTGGACGCCTTATTGCGGGCGGATCCCAAAATTACCCTTCCCTCAAAACTAACTACCAACCAAGTGTTGGACACCTTGTTGCATCAGGTTCGCGAAGTGATCCTACTCAAATACAATGTTGAACCCTGATTAACAGACCCCCCGTATTCAGGGCGTCCCTTTTTTGATGGGGAATCATTTCTTCCAGGGGGACCCCCAACAAGGAGGAGTGGGTGCTTTTACTCATCCGGGGTCAACATTGCCAGTTTTGGTTGGAGGCAAAGCTGGAAGGGGCGTGTACCGGGCTCGAGGCGAGGGTTTCCCGTACATCGTCCATCTCGGAGGTTGCATGTATTCCCTTCCAAAGCGGTTTTCATGACCAAGCCACGCCAATTTTCAGGGCTAGCGGTGAATGTACCCTGAGCAGCTGTATATTGGATGTGGGTGTGTGTTTCTTGCTGACACCCCATGCGGGTGACAGGAATCCAGAAGAAAGCCCAGCATTTTGGGAGGGTCCAAATCCATTGATTTGTTCAATGCAGAATGTCAATTCAACGTTAGTTTGTTCAATTTGTCCCTGTCATGTCAAATCCAACAGAAAGCCCAACTTGTTTTTTTGGTTTGGGGCCGGTCCAGAAAACCCCCCCATTTTGTTTTGGGGCGCTTTTGTTTGGGGGGGCTTTTGGGGGGGTCCAGAGAATCCCAGCATTTCATCGGTTTTTTTTTTTGGGGGGGGGGGTGCCTGTCATTTTTCTGCCGCCCATGTCATTCCAAACGCCCGCAAGGCGCCCCCCGAGCTGCGCCGGAGCTGCGCCCGGAACCCAGAGTTCGAGGCAACGCTTCCAGCGACCCAGGCGCCTTCGGGAGGAAAAATCTGTTTCGTGGCAACAGCGCCAACTTTCTCTACGGTTTCTTTTTTGGTTGGGAGGGGTCCTCTTCTAAACGTTTCTTTTTTTGGTTGGGAGGGGTCCTCTTCTAAACGTTTCTTTTTTTGGTTGGGAGGGGTCCTCTTCTAAACGTTTCTTTTTTTGGTTGGGAGGGGTCCTCTTCTAAACGTTTCTTTTTTTGGTTGGGAGGGGTCCTCTTCTACATACACTACAGAAAAAAGGGCACCCTTCTTCTAAGCTCTGGAGGACCTAGAAACAGAGATGTTAAAGGAAGACAAGCCGTGGGATATGCCGTTTTTGTTTGTCCCAAGACCCTGTGATTTGAGGTCTTTGGGGGTCAAAGGCAATCATATGGCTTGGGAATAAACCTATTTATTTCCCTTTGAAAGGGAGGATGAAGCAGTGACTCATGGCCATTTGCTTTCAGAATCTTCAGAGGGTTTGGGTCGGAAATATACAGATCCCGAATCTTCCCCCCAAAAAAGTTCGGTGAGAAGCCTCAGCAGCCCTTTTCCAGAAGGTTCTCTTCAACTTTCCCTTAGGGCCCCTTGGATTCTGTCCATGTGCTGCTCTCGGTAGGGAACGACAAAGGAATCCTCTCGTAGGGCTGATTCCAAGTAAGAAACTGTCTGATCTCAGGGGGCCATTGGCTTCCTCGTCCATTCCGGGCAGCTCCGGCTGAGGTGCGGGCGCATGTGTCCA